TTTTACCCCCCCCTGGACCCCCCCCCCCCTCGACCCCCCCCCCCCCGTGTGTCTCGCCCGCGCCTCCTCGCCGCCCAGCCGTCGGAGGTTGTACGAGCAGAATCGGATCGACGGCTCCACCTCGGCCGCCACCTACCGGGACGGTTCCGAGACGCTTCCGGCAGGGCTCCGAGACCCGCGCAGAAGGGCCCCAGCTCGGCGGGCAGCAGCCTGCTTGTAGAGCGCGGCCTGCTCGGCCATCGTCACGCGCGCCAGCTCGGTGCAGATCGTGGCGGTCGACTTGAACGACGCGAGCGCCGGCGCCCAGTTCTCCCGCTCGAGCGCCACGTTGCCGTGCATGAAGGCCGAGTACGCCTTGGCCTCGAGGTCGGTCCGCTGGTCGGCGCGCTCGGCGCACAGCGCGGCCAGCTTGGCGGACCACTCCGCCGCCTTGGCCAGCCGCGCGAGCAGGTGGTAGTGCGGCCGCGCCTCCTGCTGCGTGTTCTCGCGCTTGAGCTGCATCGCAAACGCCCACGCGCGCTCGGCGCAAAAGAGCGGCAGCATGAGCTGGCGCGCGTCGCGCACGCTCTCCGGCTCGAGCGGCCGCTTCACGTACCGCCCCTTGCCGTGCGTGCACCCCGTCACGCGACGCAGCCGGTGCAGCCGGCGCGAGCAGTACGAGCGGTACCGGCCGTAGTCGCCGTGCCGGAGGCCGTGCTGCGCCTGCGCCGTCTTGATGAGGTCGATGATGTCGAGCGAGAGCTCCGGAAGCTCCTCCTCAGGATCCTGCGCGTCTTGCATGGGCGCGTCCTCCTCCTGGTCCTCCGCCATAGCTCGGCGACGCACGGGGGGCGGATTCGGGTCCTCGACCGGGGTGGTGTCGTTTACCTCCTGCCTACTCATCAGACACGGAACAACAATGCATGACGACGCGGAAGGCTCTCCCGGAGCGCAAGGACCCGCAAAAGACCCTAAATAAACAGACAGAACACGCACACCACCCGAGTCGGTCGTCACACGACACACATCAGTCAGCGGGCCGAGGCGACGGCAAGCAAGCAAGCTAGATGCTTACCTCGGCCTGCTTGCTGCTCCATATACGGTGACACGGGTTTTTGCAAAGAAAGGGTCCAGACCACCGTTGCTGGATGGAGCGTAGAGGTGCCTTCGTTCGTTGAAAGAGGAAACGCTCAGCCTCAGGCAGGGCGAGTTGGCAGTTGCGAGAGAGAGAGAGAGAGATTTGAAAACCAACAAGAAATCACGACTCTCACAGTGATTTGGGCTCGGCAGCTTGTCAGCCCTCAGCCGAAGCTGGGGCCGGTCCCGTCGTAGCCGAGAGAGCCCGCGCCGTGAGTTCGACGCGGTCCGGGGGCCTTGCGGTATGCGGAGAGGCCAGCGTTCCGAGGTGGCGATCGCTGTAGTTCATGGGGGTCATCAAGTGACCGCGACTGACAAGCCAGAGGTCGATACTCTGGATTCTTCTCTTCTCGAGTTGCTGGACCCCGCCATGGATGGCCTCGCTCGTCGATCGATCGATGAGTGAGTGAGTGAGGCCGGTGATATGTATGTATGTAATGTGCAGACATAGATGTCTGTCGGCCACCGGCTCGGCTGGAGACTCGGTCGGGGCCGGTGACACTCCTGTCGGCGATGGATGTGAGCGGAGCGAGAAACCAGCGTAAAAAAGAAAGAAAGAAAACACACAACCCAAGGGAGGGATGGGAGAACGGCACGCCGCCACCACACAGGGATTTTAAGGAGAGGAGGGTGTGATGCGCTAGCCGTCGCCCACCCTGGGGGGTCTGCCTCTTCCTATCTCTCTTCGCAGTCTCTCTCCGATTCTCGCTTCAACCTTCGTGCCACCTCGCGGCCGTCCCACTCTCGTCGTTCTCTCCCTTGTCACTTCCCCCTCTGTCGCGTCGTTCTCTTCTGCCTCGTCCTGCGGCGCCGCCGCCTGCCGGTCCCTTGTTCTCGCGGCTTCTTTCGCCTCTCGGCGCAACTCAGCGTGCGTACCTCTCGCACTTGGGGCCGCGTTTTTATACATTTTACGGCACCGACGGGCGCGGTGAACATCGATCGCTTTCGAGGCATCGCCTCCTGACGCCTTGCATATGATCATCGGCGTGGAGCTCGGGTATGAGCGCAGCCGCGTCGGCATTTGGCGCAGAGACAGCAGCGCTGATGGTGAGCACGTCGCCATCTACACCACGCGGTCGATTGTGGGCTTCACCGCGCACACGTGCCTCGCGGGCGACGCGGCCGGTGCTCTGAAGGAAATCCCCGTCGTGAGGCATGTCGCCAGCAGCGCAAGCGCGAGAGCGTTGGATAAGACCTGGACCGCCGAGCAGCTCCTCGCGCTGCTTCTCGGCCACCTCAAGCGGCGCGCCGAGGATTTTCTGGAGGACACGGTGACCGGTGTCGTATTGGGCGTCCCTGCAGACTTTGATGCGTTCCACGTTGCTGCGGTCGATGCCGCTGCGCGGATGGCGGGACTTGAGGTGCGACGCTGCCGACCCGCTCTGATGTATGCTTGCACCCCCTGCTGCCGCGCGCTCCATTCGAGGGAGGAGCGCAATGTTCTTATATGCGGCGATGACGCAGTCTACATCGTGTGTGTGGAGGAGGGCATTGCGGAAGGGCTCCACTTCGTGCGCTTTGATGCCGAGGCATCAGTGGAGCAGAGGATACACGCCGTTGAGGCGGCGCATCGCGCCTGCCGCAGACAGCTCCACTTCGTGCTGGCGAGTGAGGCCATGCGGAGAGGTCTCAGTACTCCTGCCAAGCACGGTGCCATCGACATGGACTGGTCCACCGCTCCGGTGTGCGGAGCGGCCATCCTTGCACGAAAACTCGGCTCTCAGTACCACCCCGAGTTTGATGGTTTGCTTCAACTGGACGTCACGACCATGTCTGTGGGCGTCGCCAAAAACGGCGTCATGAAGGTCGTCATTCCTCGAGGCCGAACTTTACTGGCTAAGAACCCCGAATCATTCATCACCTCCGTGGACAACCAGCGAGAGCTTCGCGTCTCCATATACGCCGGCGAGAGCTCGAGTCTCGCCCAAAACTTGAAGTTGGGAGACGTGACGTTGAGCGGCTTGCCACCTCTCCCCCGAGGACAGGTGACGATCGACTGCACGATTAACTTAGATACAGATGGATACTTCCCAACGGTCCAGCTACACGCCAAGTCGCAAGAAGAACCTGTCGCTTCCACCAAGATCGCGCTTCCGAAGCCGCAAACGGCGCTCATCGACCGCCTCGCAGTCAACGTGAAGCTGCTGCTCGACATGGCGTCCGCGAGTGAGCGAGCCTGCTCAGATGAGCGTGCGATCGATGCCATGTCTAATCGCGAGCTGAAGAGCGTCATCTTATCGGGCGGGCAGAGCTGGAACGGCTGCCGGGAACGCAGCGAGCTGCTTAAAAGTGCAACGGAGGCTGCTCTCATCCTTCGGCCTTTGGCTGCTGTCCCTTCGCGGGATGCTTGGTGCAAGCTTCGGCCGTCAGCAGAGACGGTGGCACGCGCAAACGAGGCGGCACAGTCACGGAAACAGGAGGAGGCGGCGTTGCGCGCGAAGGCAGCGGCGGAGGCACGGGCAACCGAGGCGGCGGCCGCGGAGGAGGCGCGAAGGATCGCGCTGCAAGAGGAGCTGATTGCGGAGGAGGAGGCGGAGAAGAACAAGAAGAACAAGAAGAAGGGGGCGCAGCCACCCCGACCGCAGCCGACGGCAGCGGGCGAGGTCTCCTCTGAGAGCAAGGAGAGTGAGGGGTCGGAGAGTGAGGAGAGCGAGGAATCGGAGGGAGAGGCCGACGCAAAGCAGCCAGCAGCAGCAGCAGAACCGGAGGCGGAGGCGGAGGCGGCAGCGGCGGCGGTGCGAGAGGAGGCGGAGCGAGAGGCGCGGAGAGAGGCGGCGAGATACGCGAGGGAGCTCGACGAGCAGCGAGAGGCGCGGAGAGAGCAGCTGGCGAAGCCCCAGGGCGATGCCGAGGAGCGGCGCCGGCGGGCACAGGCGGAGGCGGAGGTCGATGCGGCGAGAGATGCGGCGCTCCGGGAGAGGGAGAGGGGTGTCGGCGGCGAGGTGGCGGCACCAGCGATCAGCGCACGCACCATGGGGGCGGGGGGAGAGTCGGGAGCGCGGGGAGTGCAGGCCGTTGATCCCGTGGAGGGCAGTGTCGCCCTCGCTCTGCAGCGGGAGCCGGTGCGCGGCCAGCGGGCGCCAGCGTCGGCCGCCTCGGGAGAGGGGGTAGGGCAGGGCGGGCTGCTGACGAGGGTGGCGCGGCTCGAGGCTGCACTGTCAGAGGCGATGGCTCGGGAGGAGGCGGCGAGGACGCGAGAGGCGGAGGCGAGAGAGGAGATGAGGGGTCTGGCGCAACGGCTCGCGGCTCTCGAGGCTGGAGGTACTGCGAGGGAGGATGTAGGAATCCACTCTGCATAGGTCTCCAGGAAACGGAAACTATTGCTGGTCCCCATGCGGTCCCCTGGGCAGCGCCAGCGGACACGCTTACTCAGCGGGATACCGACGCAGCACCGCACCTCCGTACGCTACGTGTACGCGCGCCGGTCAAGCGAACGGGTCGGCGTCCGGGGCGAACCCGTTGCTTCTCCGGTAGGACGGCAAAACGAGGGATGGATGTTAGGGAGAAGAATAAAGCAAAGAGGAGCAAACCGAGACGTAGGGACCTTCACAGGACGAGAGGGTCGATTCCCTGCGGTATTAGGGGACCCCACACGATATCGTCTGTTCGCCCCCTCGTCCCCCTCACGCGACGGTGTTCACTGCACACTGGGGCGGGGGGGTGTCATTGATAACAAACACGGGTACGGGGTCCCGTACCACGCGGAATCGACCCTATCCAGTGCTCAAGTGCTCAACACGGGTACGCCGCCGATGGACCTCGGAGGGTAGACCGGGCGGTGTAGGGACCTCCTCTTTGATACATGTCTGGCCAATCGCTTGAATACCCGGCTCTGTAGTATGGGTGCATAGTGTCAGACATCTCAGACACTCGGAGGTAAAAAAGAATTATTTGCAAAAAAAGAAACAGCAGGTTCAAAGGCCTATACATGCACACATGTAACGGATGCAACCAGCTCGGTCAGCGCGCTTCGGTCTGGCGCCCCATGGATCCGCAATGGCCTCTTACACAGCCCTTCCTTGCAGCGAGCCCCCTCCAACCCACCCGCGCTAGGTCTCGGGGGACGAAGGGGTCACACCCGACGACCTCGGGAACTAGCCGGGGCAGTCGGAGAAGGCCAGAAGGGGCAACTCCGTGCACTGACGGTCGGCCGTCAGAAAACACGCCTGCGTGGATCGCGTCACACCAATCCTCGCTACCCAACGCGGCCAAAGGATATCCTCCACCTCGAGAACCTCGAGACACGAGAGACGAGAGAGAGATGGCCTCGTAGGTATAGGGCTGGCATCCGTTCGGCGTGAACACAGCGGGCCCGAGGTTTGCGTTTATGTGAATCCCCAGGGCCTCCAGGGCTCGCACCTCAACCTCTCTCACAGACCAGCGCACACCGTCCTACTAGTACCGGCAGGGTATTTTCTTCAGCGCTGCGGGCCTCTTGCCAGAGCGACCACTCATCGCAACCACCTGATCCACGGGCGGCGACTCCTACGGCGGCGATCCTGGTCATGTCCTACGGCGGCGACGACTCCTCCATCCCGGACAAGCTCCGGCTCGACTACGCGCCCACCAGCCGCGCGTCCTGCAAGGGCTGCGGCCGCGGCATCGGTCAGGGCGAGGTCCGCTGCGGCGTCAAGGTGCGCTCGCAGTGGCACGACGGCTTCGACATGCACTTCCACCACGTGGCGTGCGCCCCCAAGGCCTCCGGGCCCGGCGCCTTCAAGGGCGTGCAGCGGCTGCGCTGGGCCGATCAGGCGGCGCTCGCCGACGCCCTCAAGATGCCGCTCGATGAGAGCAAGCCGGCGGTGAAGAAGGCGAAGCGGCTCAACGAGCTGGTCTGGGGCGTGGTCGACAAGGTGGCGAGCGTGCCCAAAAAACAGCTGCGCGAGGCGCTCGAGGAGAACGATCGCTTCATCACCGACAAGATGTCGCCCGCCGAGCTCGCCTACATGATTGGCGACTCGCTCGTGTCCGGGCTGCTTCCGCCGTGCCCGTTCTGCGAGTGCAATGCCCTGGTGGGGGAGGGCGGGATGATCCGCTGCGCCGGCTTCGCCGCCGGCACCACCTCCTGCCGCTTCTCGCTCGTCCTCGACTCCGTCTTTGACGAGCCGCTCGGCTCGGAAGAGATGCGCGGCCGCACCAAGCGAGCGGGCGTGTTTGAGCCCACGCAGCCGCTCGCGCGCGCGCTCAAGGACTGGTCGCCGCCGAAGGACGCGCCGGTGCTGGCGCTCGCTCCGGCAGCCGGTGCGGCCGGCGGCAGCGCCGCCGCCGGCCCGAGCGGCGTCAACATCCAAGGCAGCGGTACGGACGTCCAAGGCGGGGGCCCCAACGTCGAGCCGTTCCATGGCGATCTGCATGGTGATATCGACTCGGGGGACGACGAGGAGCTGGACGGGTCGTGCGACGCAAAGTACGTGATGGCGGGGCTCGTCGTGGCGTCGGTCGGCTCGACGACGCCCAAGGCCGAGGAGATCCAGTCCATCGTCGAGGCGCACGGCGGCGAGTGGGTCTCGGGCTCCATCGGCGACGGCCGCTCGGTCTCCATCCTGGTCTCGACCGAGGCGGAGGCGGCCAAGAAGAAGCCGTCGGCAAAGTTCGCGGCGGCGGCCAAGGCGGGCGTGCCGGCCGTCTCTGCCGACTACATCCTCGCGCTCGCGGGCTTGCCGCCCGCGACCGGCTCCAGCAAGAGCACCGGCAAGAGCACGGGCAAGAGCGGCGGCGGCGGCAAGAGCGGCGGCGGCAAGAGCGGCGGCAAGGCGCGCGGCAAGCGCGCGGCGGCGGCGATCGACCTGACGGGGGACAGCAGCGACGAGGAGGCGGCCGAGGCGGACGCGCCGATGAGCGAGGCGGAGCTGGCCGCCGAGCAGGTGAGCGGCATGCGCGTGCCGGAGCTGCGCGCGGAGCTCGAGACGCGCGGGCTCGCGACGGGCGGAAACAAGCCGCAGCTCGTGCAGCGGCTGCGGCAGGCGGTGCAGGCGGAGGAGGCGGCGCGCTCCGAGCAGGCGTACGACGCGGCGCAGGCGACAGGCGCGCCGTCCGAGGCGGCCGCTGCGCCCCCGAGCAAGAGGGCAAAGACCGGCGCGTCCTCCTCCGCCGCCTCGTCGGCGGCGGGCGCGAGCGGCGGCGCCCCCGCCGCGGCGCGGGCGGGCGCGAGCGGGCTGGTGCTGCGGCGGCGGCGCGAGATGGCGGCGTACCTCCTCGACCCGGACGGAGAGCGCGGGCCCCCGCTGCCCTTTCTGAAGGGTTCGATCACGAGGGCGCAGCTTGCCGAGAAGCGCAAGGCCAAGTCGAGCAAGGGGCCTCGCAAGGTGCTGCCGCTCGTCGCTCAGGGCTCCGCTCTCGCGACGGTGTACCCCGAGGCGAATAAGCCCGCCGGGACGGGCGTCTTCATCGACGAGTACAACCTGGCGAGCACAGCCCTGCTGCTCCGCCCCACTGCCGCCGCCGCCGCCGCCGCCGCCGCCGCCGCCGCCGCCGCCGCCGCCGCCGCCGCCGCCGCCGCCGCCCGCGCCCTCCCTCCCACCCCTCCCCCTCCGCAACGGCGGCAGGCGTGGCATTCGGTCCTCAACGCGGTCGACCTCGCCGACGGCACAAACAAGTACTACAAGATGCAGCTGCTGCAGACGGGCTCCTCGTATTGCGTCTACCGCGCGTGGGGCCGCGTCGGCGGCGGCGGCGCGGGCGGCAAGTCAGGCGGAGGCAAGAGCAAGTCGGTGCCGGGCTACCTCAACTCGGACGTCGTCCACGAGCACGGCGTCGACCTCGACGGCGAGATGCCGCCGAGATGCCGCCGAGATGCCGCCGAGACAGGGCCGGGATAGGACCGGGATAGGGCCGGGATAGGACCGGGATAGGGCCGGGATAGGACCGGGATAGGACCGGGATAGGGCAGATCGGGCACCGTCGGCGACCCGTCTGTCCCCTCCCACGCGCAGGCGCCAAGAAGGAGTTTCGCGAACAGTTCAAGAAGCTCGCCAAGTGCGACTTTGAGTGGTGCGAGCCGCCGGTGCAGCACCCTAGCGGGTACGCGGTCACGCTGCTGCCGGGCCAGCTCTCCGACGAGGCGACGGGCGAGGCGGCGGCGGGCGGCGGCGGCAAGTCGGCCAGCGGCTCCGCGATGGGCTCGTCGCTGCCGCCGCCGGTAGCGCGGTTCGTGTCTCTGATCGGCGACAAGAAGATGATGGCTGCGCAGCTGCAGGAGATGCACGTCGACCTCGAAAAGATGCCTCTCGGCTCCATCTCGACGGCGCAGATCAAGCGCGGCTACGAGGCGCTCACGCGCGTCGCGACGCAGCTGCAGACGCCGGCGGCAGACGGCGACGAGCAGAAGCACCGGCTGCTCACGCTGACGACGCACTTCTACACGACGATCCCGCACAAGTTCGGCCTCGACGAGGCGCCCTCCCGCCGCTCTCCCGGAGCAACTCTCCCCCCCCCCCGGAGGCCGACGGAGCCACCAGAAGGGCGGACTCCTTGGCCCTCGCCCTCGCCCCTCAGCCTCGCCCCCCCTCCAGCCTCGCCCTCGCCCTCTGCCGCAGGTGCCGCCCGTCATCGACTCGCTGCCGATGCTCAAGGATGGGCTCGACATGCGGGAGGGCCGCTGCGCACAGCGTCTCTTCACACGCGCGTGACTGTGAACAGGACAAGCTCGACATGGTCGAGGCGCTGCTGCAGGTGCAAGAGTCGCAGAAGCTCTCGAAGAGCCTCGGCCCGGCCGCCGAGCAGCACCCGCTCGACGCTATGTACGCGCAACTCCAGTGCGGGCTCGCGCCGGCGTCGGAGGCGGAGCACGAGATGGTCCGGCGGTACGCGGCCAACACGCACGGCTCGACGCACGACACGTACAAGATCAACGTCAAGGACGTGCTCGCCGTCTCGCGCGCGGCCGAGCAGCCGGGCTTCAAGGCGTCGCTCGCCAACCGGCAGCTGCTGTGGCACGGCTCGCGCCTGACCAACTGGGCGGGCATCCTCTCGCAGGGGCTGCGCATCGCGCCGCCCGAGGCGCCCGTCACGGGCTACATGTTTGGCAAGGGCGTCTACTTCGCAGACATGAGCTCCAAGTCGGCAAACTACTGCGGCGCCACTTCCGCCAACCCGACCGCCGTCCTGCTGCTCTGCGACGTCGCTCTCGGCTCGCAGTACGAGCGGCTCAACGCAGAGTACGAGGCGGCGGAGAGCTGCAAGAAGGCGGGCAAGGCGTCGACTTGGGGCGTGGGCAAGTTCGCGCCCGCCGACGGGGGCGCGAGCTCGATCGAGGGCGGCGCGATCCGCGTGCCGATGGGCGAGGCGGGCGACTCCGAGTACATGAAGGCCAACTTCGCGCGGCTGCAAAAGGCGGAGGGCGGCAAGGCGCGGGCGGCTCTCCTCTACAACGAGTACATTGTCTACGACGTCTCGCAGATCCAGATGAAGTACGTAGTCGTGTGCGAACTCGAGTTCGACGGCTGAGGGTGGCGGCTGCTGCGGCGGAGTTTGCGCCGGCAGCGGGCAGCGCCGACTCCAACCCACCCGGCGCCTCTCTCCCAGGGGCGGGGAGGCGGGTAAGTTGCCTCTCTCGAGTACAGAGTACAGGTAGCGTCTTTGGGGCGGGTTCGGGGTTGCACACGGACCGTTTGAGTTGTTCTGCGGGATGGCCATGTGGGGATGGCGCGGGGCGCGGGGCGGGGGGGCGGCAGTGAAGCCGTATGGGCGCCAGAGAGGCGCAGCGCGGCGAGCGGCCCCCCTGCCAGCAAGCGCTAGTATGCTAGTACCGGTCGGTTCGCACACGCTAAGTTCTAAGTAAACCAGACTTGCTCTCATGCTTCACACGCTTGACGCTTCTCACGACGGCCTTCGCCTTGCTCGACGACAACCTCGCTGGCTTGGCCTTGGGTGTTTCTGCTACCAGGATCATCAGCGTGCACCCCCCATCCTTGAGGCTTCTCCTCTTTGGAGGCGCGCCCACCGCCGCCCATGAGCGAGTTGAGGCGATTCCATCGATTGCGCACGGCGTCGTCGGTTCGGCCCGACAGCTGCTTGGCGATGTTGCGCCAACGGCCACCATTCGACACCACCTCGCGCACAATCAGCTCATCCTCCTCCCTGCTCCAGTCCTGTCGATTCGGCGCGGGTGCGCATCGTCAAAGGCAAGTGGTGGTGAGCGGGCAGGTCGGAAGCTCGCACACCTTCTTCGGAAGCAATGGCTGTCCCGTTTGGAAGTCGAACTCGACCGCGGTGCACTTGTGCCCCTTTTTCGGCGCGCCGCACCTGGAGACGATACGCTCCGCCATGGCTTTCGCGGAGCCTTGCTGGTTCGGCCTATGTGCATGTGCCTCCGGCCTCAACGGGGGACTTCGCGAGCCGCCCCTGGCAAAGGCCCCCACCGAACAGTCACGGGCTTCACGGGCAGGGAGCCACCCGCCAACTTCGCGAGACGCCGCTGTGCGTCCTCTCTGAACGCCGCGCGCATCTCGTCCGTCTTCTTTTGGATGCCTACCTCAAAACACGCCGTTCTCATCTTGCTTCTCGCCGCATGTGTATTTCGCGCGGCCTTGCTCGCGCCTTCGAGCGTTTTGGGTTCGTCGTCGTACATGGGGCCTGGCTTGAGCGCCTCGTCGATCCACCCAAAGCAGGGGAGTCGCTTCTGGATCGGCGCCGGCACGCATTTGCGAATCGATATGCGCGCACAGCTGCGCGCCTGCCGGATCTTTGTCTCGATGCCGCACCGCTTATTGACATACTCGTACGCGCTGCCAACCACGTCGCCGACCCACTGCCGCGCCGCGTCAAAGGCGCCCCACACGCCACCCCGCGCCGCCGCAGGCGGCTCCTCGCCCTCCTCTAGCAGCTGCTTGTACCCGCCCGCCTTGGCGTCGCCCGACGAGGAGGAGGGGGTGATGGTGGTGGTCGCCGTGAAGGGCGCGTCCTCACTTTTACGCTTGGATGCGGCGTACGCGATCACGTCCTCTCGCGGCAGCAGCGGTTCCCCGGCCATATCGCGCGGCGCAAATGACGCAACAGAAACGCGGCGCGGCGGCGTTCACGAGGTTTCGGCGCGGTCAGGATGCGCGGAGGTGCGGTTGACCGTGATGGCTCTGCTGACGAGGAGGGGTCGAGTTCACACACAAAAAAGAACGCGAGCTGGGAATAGGACCGCCGCAAGCGGCGTGGCGTGGGGCGGTTGAGCATCCCTCCGGGGGCCCCTCTGCGCCGGGGAGGCGTTGTTGGAGGCTAGGACGCAAGCGTCCGTCGCCCTTTTCAAACTCGGGGCCCACTCCGCTACGCTCCGACCCGAATTTGGAGGGCCATGAAGTTTGTTGCTGCGCAAAAGGGGCGGGGCGCGGGCGCGCGCGGCAGGCCGAGAGCTCTTTTTGGAGATCAGACCTTTCGATGGTTCGCGGCGGCCCAAGGTGGGGGAGGGGTACGGGGGGAGGGGACGGACTCCGGCAGGGTGCGCTCCCGTTGCCACCCTGCCGCTGTTGCCGTCACCCCACATTGGCTGCAGCTCTCCGGCACTGCTCGCGATTCTCCTCGACCCGCCTGCCTCGTGTGATTTGCAGGCGCTGTGGGCGAGGGTCGCAGAGCTCGAGCAGCATGTGTGTACACAAACGTATATGGCGGCGACGCGGGCGCGCGATCGGCCGGCTGCTCGCCCACCGCGACGGTGAGCACGTTACTCCGCGCCGGCTGGTTTCGTCAGTTGCACCACTCGTTCGACAAGGCGGCCACCACGCCCGTCACGTACTACTTTAGCGAGCCCAGCCGGCAGCGGCGGATGATCCACGGCATCACGGAGGCCTCGCGTCACTGGGCGGTGTGCACGCTGGACTCGCACGATCGGCTGCTTCGCGCGATCGGACCGATGCTCAACCGCACCGAGCTCGAGCCGCTGCGCGCAGGCGACGCACGCTACGGCTGGGACCGCCTCGAGGAGTTTAAGCGCTCCGTGCCGTGGGCCTCCGTCCGCCGGTTTTTCCGCGTCGACGAGCAGCTCTACGAGGCCGTCGCCGGCGGGCCAGGCGGGTGCCGCGCCGCCGGGCGGATGGCTGCAATATTGCGCGGCGCTGCAGACGGCGCGTCGTCGTCCGCAGCATCCAGAGATCTCGCTGACGCCGCCGCCGCCGCCGCTCTCACCTCCATCGGCTGCGACGCTCGCGACAGGAAGGCGCCGCCCGTGTTGTCCGCATGCGGCCGCAGGATTTCTTTGGGCTGGAAGATGCCTTCCGAGACTGCTGCACGCCTCCGCGGTTTTTTTGGCTAATCTCGGCTACCCATTCGGCCGAGCAATCTAGCCGTAGCGAGAGCGGAGAGCGAGAGGCTGAGGCTGCAGCAGAGAGGCGCTGCCGCGATCTCGCGATCTCGATCTCGCGCGATCTCGGCTGTAGCAGCTCCGATGTGATGATTGCGGTGGGCGTGCTTGATGTTCGGCATATAGCGGTTTGAAAATCTCGAATCGGCCGCGCGGCGACTCCCCGACTGTCCCGTGAGCCGTGTCCGCCCGCCGCGGCGGCCGGCGCCTCTCGGCCCGGCACTTCAGACTTCTCTCTCGGCACCCGTCGTCTAGGTCGTCTGTGTTAGGCGGCCTTCTTCGATTTGCAAAAACACGAAAGTACGCCGCAAGTCCGAAGTAGCGAGTTGCGACCCCGAGGTCTGCGTATCCTATCAACCTACTCGATCCCACCCTACTCAGCCCCACGCCAGCTGTGGTCCCGCTAGCTCCCCGCGCCTTGTCCGACGCTGAGAGAACCTTCCAGAGTTCCAGCTCCCACCGTCGTACTGTTCTCGCGCCGCCTCACGCGAAGCCGAGGTAGCCGAAGAGGAGAGGCAGCACGACGCACCTGCGGCGCAGGTGCCAGGGGCGGGGGAGACGGTCAGCGACGGTTCCAGAAGGGAGCACAGAAAAGGAGGAGAAGGGCGCGGGTGCGCAGGGCGCACATGACGTTGCCCTCGGTGAACTTGGTGGTGCCCTTAGCAAGCTGCCCGAAGAAGACGCCGCCGCAGACCAACCACGCGAGCATGGAGCCTAAAAGAAGAAACCTCGGCGTGATAGAAAAAGGAAATCGGGCCGCCGACCAACCACGCAAGCATGGAGCCGCGGCACACGTTGACGTGCGCTGCGGCGTCGCCCCTGCAGTGTCATGATGGAAGAGAATGTTCTGAAGCGGCAAGAGTGCGGGTGTCGTCTCGAGCTTGGCCGTCGCGCATGGGCGGGCTTGGACGGAGGAGAGAGAGGGGGCGGCGGGGCCAAGGGCGGCGGCTGACACACCAGTATGTCGCTGCAAAGGTAATCGAGAGGAGGTAGCCGATTGCGCCCGCAAACTGGGTCTGAAGCGGCTTGGTGGACGCGGTCTCGGTCCAGCCGTACTTGGCGTAGGGGTCGCCGCCCATGAAGGGCAGCGCGGGCAGAAACTTGAGGTTGCCAGACATCAGCGCGAGGAACTGGGGCAGGCGCGGGGCAGGCGTCGGGGGTCAGCTGCTGCTGCTGGCGCACGCGTTAGGGAGCACGCGTGAGGGAGCACGCGTGAGGGAGCACGCGTGAGGGAGCAAGTGTGAGGGAGCACGCACGTAGGCCTCGAGCACGACTTGGAGCCACGCGCCCACCGTCGGAGTGATAGGCCCGAGCGAAGCGCCGCCCCGAAGGGTGACGATTGTGGCCACGGGATCGGGCGCAAGCTGGAGTTTGTGGTTCTGGGCGAGCGCTGGCTTGACCGTGGGTTGGAGGGTTGCGGCCGCGGCCGTGTGCGTGGCGAGAAGCAGGAGAGCGGCACGCATTTGTTGTGGCGGTGCTTGATCGCGGTACTTTTTTTCTTTTTTGGCCACCTTCAGAAAAAAGGAGGACTGATACAAAGGAGTAAAATAAAAAGGAAACAACAAGTGACACACACATGACTCTTTTATTAATAAAACGTGAATCCGCGCCTGCCCGCAGAGATCTCAGCTGCGCCGGTGACAAATGCTTTCTGTCTGTCTATCTATCATGCTTCATGACACGACACGCGGTGGTGGGAGCTGGTGGAGCTGTCAGCTGATCGATCCAAGCGGGTGGAGAGTGGGGGGCATGGCTGGGCATGCAGGTCCCCAGTCGGCCCGGCCTCTGACGTGGTGCTGCCGCTGCATTCGCTGAAGAAGAGAGGTGCGACTTGATTGGAGGCACTGGCTCTGGGGGGAGGCGGGGCCCCTAGGGGGTACCCATGCGGGGGGGAGATGGGGTCCCATGGCCCGCCGCAGGCGCCGATTTTTCCGCATTTTTTCTTTTTTTGCGATTTTCTACTTGTAGCCCCCCGCTACCCGATTCGCGGTTGCTTGCACTCGTGCGACGTAGCGGGGGGCCACGACTACGTTTACGAAAACATAAGTAGTCCCGCGAGGTGAATTTGGCCGCCCAGTTACCCCCCTTTTTGAGGCGAGGCCGCTTATGCGGCCCGATGGGGAGGAGTGGGCGGACTACGGGGATCGGCTACTTACACCGCCCTTCCTTGGCCCCCTCCAACCCACCCGCGCTAGGTCTCGGGGGACGAAGGGGTCACACCCGACGACCTCGGGAACTAGCCGGGCGGGGCAGTCGGAGAAGGGGCAACTCCGTGCACTGTCTGACGGTCGGCCGTCAGAAACCACGCCTGCGTGGATCGCGTCACACCAATCCTCGCTACCCAACGCGGCCAAAGGATATCCACCTCGAGAACCTCGAGAACGCCCCTTTTTATGGCTCAAACCCGACATGCTTTGCTTCGGTCTCGACTTGAGTGCCGCTCGACTGGCCGATGAAGAGCGACCAGTACGACGCGCACTTGTCGTCCTCCCTCCTCGCCACATGACGGCCGCCCCGACACCAACAGTCGCGCTCCGCACGCCTTCGAGGTCAGCTGCGGCCGAGCGACGATCGGCTCGTCTCCGATCGCTGGGCGCGGTCACTCTCCGGCCTGTCACCCGCCTGCCGATCACCTGTCCGCCTCGCCGCGCGCGGGCCGCTCGCCTGCTCGCCACCGCCGCCGCGCGTCCCTCACCGCGACGTCAAGCCGGACAACATCCTGCTCGACGAGAGGCTGACCGCTGTCCTGGCCGACACGGGCTTCGCCAAGGACCAGCGGCCGGACGCGTCTGTCCGCTGCCGCTCGACCGCCCTCTACATGTCCACGGGCTACCTCTGCGCTCTGCCCCTCCATCTCCAAGGGGGGCGAGTACTCGAGCAAGACGGACGGCTACGCCATTGGCATCACCCTCCTCGTCTGCCTCACTAACCGGTCCGAGGTGCAGCTGACCGACCGGTGCGAGGACGAGTTCGAGGAGGACTGGACCGACATCGACGCGGCGAAGCTCGCCGACGTGGCCGCGGGCTGGCCAGTCGACGCGGCGCGCGCAGTCAAGGACCTCGCGCAGGCGGGGGACGGGCAGAAGAGCCTCTGCCACAACAGCTTGCGCAAGCGATGCACGCTGCCCGAGGCGCTGCTGGCGCTCCGGGCGACGCTGTCTGGCGCGCAGGGCGGGGTGGGGGTGGAGGAGGCTGCGCCGGCACCTGGAGACGAGGCCGCTGCGGCAGCCGCCCGCACCACCGGCTACGAGCCTTCGCCGCTCTCGGTGCAGGTGCGCGGCATGCGCACGTCCGGCGACGCGCAGGCGCGCATCCAGGACAACATGCTGCTCGCCTTCAAAACGCTGATGCCACGCCTCGTGCCTCGACGCTGTTTACGCCTCGCGCTCTGCGGCGGCGCCAGACGGCTTCGAGGAGCGCATCAACTTTTGGCACCGCGAGTGCGGATTGCCGACCGAGCTGCGGAGCCAGCTGCACTCGCTGCGCATCTGGGCGAACGCGGCGAGGCACCACGACGCGGCGAGGTGGCAGAGGGACGGGCCGCGCAGCGAGTGCGAGGCGTCGCGCCTCGTAGCGGCGGTGACGGAGGCGGTCGGGGCGCTCGAGGGATGACTGAGAGAGATAGCCGACGATATAGGCCGGCCGGGGGAGACTGCGAGATATGAGTCATATACTCGGTCAGAGCAGTGTGTGGGCGTTTTATGTGGCGAATTCCGAAAAGACCGAACAATGAACACCAAAAAAAAGCAAAACCACGACCGCCGACGCCGTGAAACCCCCCTCATGGCAAGCGTCAAAATTCCGTCCTTGAGAGAGTCTCGAAAAACAACTGTACTCGCTCGCGCAAAGTCTCGCGCACGCCATCGCCTTCGCCCCGCCGCCTTCCGTGCGTCAGAGTGGCCACCAAGAGATCGATCGCATCGTGGATGGCGTCGAGCCCGCGTGGATGAGCGAGGTTGACGTTGAGGGGGCGAGCTTTTGGCTGTACGCATTGATCGCCCTCAGGCTCTCCTCGATGAAGCTCGCCTGCCGCGGGATGAGCATCGCCCTCGCCGTCTCGACGAGGATCTCCGCAAAGTACTTGTGGTTGTATAGCTCCACCCACTGCGGGCTAGTTAGCGTCCCGCCAGACTCGCTCAGGACGGGCTTGCCCGCGATCCACACCTTGGACGCCTCGATCCACACCTTGTACATCTTGGTGGGGCACGTCACCCAGCCCTCGGGCGGCACCAAGCCCTCTACCGGCTGGATCGAGTGGTAAAAAATGCGCCCCAGCAAGAGCGCCCCCGCGTGCGCCTCCTTCTCCGCCGTTGCCACGAGGTCTCCCACGATGGGGCCTTTCATGTCCAGCTCCGGCTCCTCCACCTCAGCGACGGTGCACGAGGCGAGGCGGCAGGTCTCCGGCCCTCGGATAAAGTCAGCCTTGCCCTTGAGCCAGGCCTCGAAAGCCTCGCCGCCGATGTCGCTCATCACCTCGCCCCACGGCCCTCGCCACACTCGGTACGCATTGTAGCCGTGAGTCAGCTCGTGCGCGAGGAGATCGGGAGCGATGCCGCCGTAGTGCTCCGGGTCGTCGCTTCCGTCCTTCGTCTTGAAGTCAGAGATGACCACGGAGAAGGTGGGGCCATCGGAGCCGAGGGTGTGCCAATCAGCGTTCATCTGAGTGTGCATGCCGAGTCGGTAGTGGGCGTAAACCTTTGTCGGCTCATACCACATCACACTCTCCCCAACCTGTGTGGAGTAGTACTCGTCCACCTTGTGAACCAAGTACCATATGTCGGCGATCGCACCGAAGGCGCCGTTGACAGGCGTGTCCTGGACTACGTAGGAGCTCTCGGGCGAGTAGGGGTCGTCTGGGTACATTCCGGGGGCGGAGCCCCCCATCTGCACCTGCATCCGCCTCCCCATCGCCGCCGGCGCGTTGGGATCCCTGTCCGCATCGGGGTCGACCCACTTGCTATCGTAGAGCTCGAAGCGGCCGTCCGCGAGCGTGCAGGTGCCGTGGCCGTCATAGGCGACGCGCAGAGCTGGCACACCATCCTGGCCGTACACCACCTTGCCGACCTTCTCGTTGCCGCCCTCGGCGGCGGCGTCAACAAAGCCCCACATGCTTGGAAGGAGGAAATCAGGCAGCCACAATTTTGCCGGCGCAGGCCGCAGGAGCTGTCCGAGCACGAGCAGCACCCCGGCGGCAAGGCAGGAGAGGAGCAAACGCGCGCCCGGCCGCATGGTCGCGGTCGTGCCGCTGGACTCCATGCTCGCACCGGCCCCTGCCTGGGGCGCCCGACGTTGCCGGCCCCGACCTGGGGCGCGACGTTGCGCGCGCGGACGGAACGAGAGTGTTGAATGGGACGCACCCTCGCGGTAGCGCCCGCAAGTCTGACAGGCCGAAGGTACCCCACGCCGGCACGCCCCAAGATCTCCAAGGGGGGAGCAGGCGAGGCACGTCCATTTGGAGAGGAAACACGCCAGGACAAAAACACAAAGTCCAGTGTCAGTGAGTGGCAGAACACGAGAACAGACGACCCAACAGCACACACACTCAGTACGTCAGTACAACTCATGAACCCATACTGTGACCTGGTAGCATATGCTGAACCCCCGATGTCGCGATGCGGTCCCGCTTTTCCGCGATCATTTCGTCCGTCCAATCGAAGGAAGCGCCGGATCGCCCATGTTATGGAGTTAGCCAAACACTTGTTACCGTTCTTCGTCTCAGACGATTCCGTGGTTTTTGCACGGTATTCGGATTTTCGCTATTTGGTCGTGTCCATCGCCTGGTCTGCGAATGCTTATCAGCCACGAAAGGAGAGCGTGGCCGAGGGTTGCATAGACTCGATCGCAAGATCCCAGAAAGGCACCTCCGCCTCTGGACAGGGTGGCCCGCACTAATCGACCCCTGTTAAGTGACTCGTTCGCTTACCACCCACTGTGATTTTGTGTGAGCTCTGTGTCTTGATTTGCCAACAACAAACCGTTAAAAACAAAAATAAGGGCCGTCGCCCGCTTGCCTTTTGTGGATTAGCAAGAATTCCCAAATGATGTGTGAAAAAGAAAGAAAGAAAGAAAACACACAACCCAAGGGAGGGATGGGAGGACGGCACGCCGCCACCACACAGGGATTTTAAGGAGAGGAGTGTGGTGCGCTAGCCGTCGCCCACCCTGGGGAGTCTGCCTCTTCGTATCTCTTTTCGCAGTCTCTCGCCGCTTCTCGCTGCAACCTTCATGCCACCTCGCGGCCGTCCCACTCTCGTCGGTCTCTCCCTTGTCACTTCCTCCTCTGTCGCGTCGTTCTCTTCTGCCTCGTCCTGCGACGCCGCCGCCTGCCGGTCCCTTGTTCTCGCGGCTTCTTTCGCCTTGCGCAACTCCGTCCTCCTCGCGGCGTATCCTGGCCCCTCGAGTCTATCAAGCTCCCCTCGCGCAAGGACCACATTTGGTGTGAGTGTTAGAGTTGTGTGGGCGCGAAATTCTTTTTGCGCGTACTATCTAGGTGGGCTGCTCGTAGGGAACCACGCGGCCTCGACTGCTACGCGTCTTCGCGCGACGTGTTCGTGCAAGGAGCACCACGCTGATGTCCGACGCTGCCGAAGAGGTGCAGGTGAAGGAGGGTCAGGCCACACTCTACTTTGCGTCCAAGAAGGGTGTCTTCTACAACCCGCCTCAGATCCCGAACCGCGACCTCTCGGTGCTGGCGCTGCAGCAGTTCTCCGAGATGTGGGCCAGCCAGCCATCCAAGCCCGCCGCTGATCGACACCGCACCCTACGCCAGGGCAGCGCGCCGGCGCCGGCTGACGCTGGCGCGCCCGAGGCGGACGTGCCAGAGGCGGCGGCCGCGCAGGAGCCGCCCGCGCCTGCCGCCGGCGAGGCCTCGGAGACGGCAACTGCTGAGGCGTCCGCTTCTCTCCCGGCGTCCGCCTCAAAGCCCGCGGCGCGGCGCGGCCTGCGGGTGCTGGATGCGCTGTCGGCGAGCGGGTTGCGGACGATACGGTGCGCCGAGGAGCGAGCTGCGGCGGTGGAGACCCCTCCCTGAGCCTTTTCGGGCTTCTCCGTAGGTACGCCAAGGAGGTGAGCGGGCTGCGCGAGGTGGTTGCGAACGACGTCGATCCCGTCGCCCACCAGACGATGGCCTCCAACTTTGGCCGCAACGGCCTCCTCGAGGGCGGCGGGGAGCAGAGCTGTAGGGTGACGTCGACGGTGGGCGACGCGGCGGCACTACTGTACGCGTCGCGCCCTCCGGCAGGCGAGCGCTTCGACGTGGTCGACCTCGACCCGTACGGCACCGCCTCCCCCTTCCTCGACGGGGCGGTGCAGGCGGTGAGCGAGGGAGGCTTGCTGATGGTCACCTGCACCGACATGGCAGTCCTTGCGGGGGCGTACCCAGAGGCGGGCGCGGAGGTGGGGCGGTCGGCAACGCCTCGGGCATTGGTCCGCGACGCGCCCGCGGCCTGCCCCTCCACAGGCGTGCTTCGCGAAGTACGGCGCGTGGCCGCTGAAGGGTGCGCACTCTTGCCTGAGAGGCTACGTCCTAGATGCGGGGCGAGGCTGCCCGAGGTGAGCCGAGGCTGACGGAGTAGGCAAGCACTGCCACGAGCAAGGGCTTCGCATCCTGCTCGCGTGCATCGACTCGCACGCCGCGCGCCACGGCCGCTACATCACCCCCCTCCTCTCCGTCCACATCAACTTTTACGTGCGCGTCTTCGTGCGGCTCCGCTCCTCCAAGGCTGCGGTGAAGCTGTCCGCTACCAAGGCGCGAGATGTGGGGAGATGTGGGGAGATGTGGGGAGATGTGGGGAGATGTGGGGAGATATGCGGTGAAGCTGTCCACCTCCAAGGCGCGGTAGACTAGCCGAGAGGCGGGCCGAGACGCAGCCGAGGCGGCCTCCTCCTTCCGACCACTCCCAGCTCCGCCACCGAGGCGGCCGCACCTCGGCCGCACACTCTCTCTCAGAACCCCCCCCCTCCCCCGACCCCCCCCCCCCCCACACACACACACCACCACCACTAGCCCACACCACCACCACCCCCGCCCCTCCTTGCGCCCTCGAGCCCGCTCGCCCGACCCTCGCCGCAGGTCTCGCACCTCTACCAGTGCGCCCGCTGCGACTCGTTTGCGCTCCAGCCGCTCGCGCGCGTCGTCGACAAGGGCACGCACGAGAAGGTTGTCGCGGGGGTCGGCCCGCCCGTCGAGCGGAGCTGCGAGCACTGCGGAGGCGCCGCTTGGCCGCCGCAAGCCAGGGCGGGCGGGCGGGGGGGGGAGGGGGGCGGGCGGCCGTGAGGCGCGGCGCGTGCGGCCGTAGGCGTGCACCACGTCGGTGGGCCGCTCTGGACCGCCCCGATGCACGACCACGAGTTTGTGGAGAAGCTGCTCGCCAAGCTGCAGGCCGAGGGCCTAGACACCTGCTAGACACCTGCTAGACACTTGCTAGACACCTGCTAGACACCTCCCGGCTGCTCGCCAAGCCGCAGGACGAGGAGACCAACTTCTAGCTCTGGTCCTTTCCCTGACCCCTCTCGGAACCTTCCCGTAGGACGAGGAGGGCTGCTCCAACCTCGGCTCGCGGAAGCGGCTGATCGGCATGCTCACTTCGGTGGCGGAGGAGCTGCCCGATGTGCCGCTCTTCACCTCCCTCTCCGCAATGTGCGGCGTGATGCACCTGCCCTGCCCGCAGACCGTCGGCGCGCTCTCCGCGATTGTGCGGCAGGGCTACCGCGTCTCGCGATCGCACACCGACCCGAGCGCGATCAAGACGGACGCGCCACAGCGCAAGGTGTGGGACATGCTGCGCTGCTGGGCAAAGAGGCCCGAGTGCGAGGCGCAGAAGGGGAAGAAGAAGAAGGAGCCCCTGTCGCCCACCTCGCCCGCGGCGGCCATCCTCGCGGCGTCGCCCGAGGAGGAGGCGGACTTCCGGCCGGTGCCAGAGGTGCAGCGGATGCTCTCCAAGAAGGACGGCGCGGGCGGGAAGGTGGGCAAGTTCTTGCCAAACCCCGAGCAGTGGGGACCCGGCTCGCGAGGGACGTCGCACGCCGCCGCCTTCGGGGCGGCCGAATCGGCGGCCGCGGCCTCAAATGGCGCCGTCGACAAGCGCGCCCAAAACCAGGGCAAGCGGTCGCGCAAGCGGCGAGCGGCAGAGGCGGCGGCGGCGGCGGGCGAGGCGGCAGCGGGCGAGGCGGCCACGGGAGAGGCGGTAGCGGGCGAGGCAGCGGCTGGCGAGGAGGCGGTGCAGGGGGACGGCGGTGACGACGGGGCGGCCGAGCCGCCACGCAAGGCGCCGACGCTAGACAGAGCTGTGTAGCAGACATGACGACTCTCTCCACGCGAGATACACTGTCTCATGAGCGTCTCTGTGCCGTACCCCGTGTCCACTTGAGAGAGTGTCAAGCTATGGTTGGTCACATGGCAATTGGCATGAGCGATGACTCCGAGATGGCGTTAGAAGAAGTATTTTACACCTAAAACCCCTTGTGTACGGCTTCACACACCCACACGTAGTTGCTATATGGTGTGTAGTGACACACCATCACACGGTGCATTCTTTTTGATGTCGAGAAAAAGTGCATGCAATTTGGTTGCAATATGCGTTCTCTGATCTGAAGATAAGCGGTGTTGGCTGTTGCATGGTGCTCGCATCTCTGTTCTCGGCGCGAAATCGACCGCCGCGCAGGCACGCACCGCGTCGACAGCGAGAGCCTTGACCTGGACAGCCTGAGCCTCCTGACCGCTGACCCGCACACACACAGGATAGCCCACACACACTCACACCGACAGAGAAACGTGCGACTCAGATGCAGACAAGCACCCGACTCCAGGCCCTCCGGCCCGAGCTCCCCTCTCCCGTGACCAATGCCACCCGCTCCTGGTCACAGAAGGTAGGCGAGAGGGTCCGCGTCGCCCGCTTCCGACGCCTGCTCCCCCTCGCCCCTCCCCTCCCCCCCCTCGCTCTCGCCCTCGGCCCTCCGCTCGTAGATGAGGACATACGCGCCAGAGGTGACAATGCCGTCGGCGCGGGCGGTCGACACGTGCGCGTCGTTGAAATCGTGCCTGCGCCGACGCAAGGGCGGGTCAGAGTCCCGCCGCGCGAACGGCGCGACGCGGCGGCCGGGGGCGGGGCGCGCACCAAGCGCCGCTCTCCGAGTGCCTTGCAAAGGCCGTGTAGTGGCCCGACGAGAGCCCGCCGTAGTGGTTGCAAACCGCACGGAGGTCGTACAGCGCCGCGTCGTCGCCGCTCAGGCAGTGGCGCGACAAGTCGAGCCCCCGCACCGGGAAGTCGATCATCGAATCGAGCTTGCGCCGCCAGCGGCCCGTCGCGTCGGCCGTGAAGCGCTTCAGCTGGATGATGAGCACGGGCGGCAGCGACCACACCTGCAGCTTTTGCCGCGCCTGCCGGTGCTCTCTGCAGCGCGGGCAGTACCACGCGTTCGCCTCGTCGAGCACCTCCTCCTTCCCAAACAGGTCAAAGCAGTCGAGCAGCGGCACCTTGTCAGGCGCGCCCGAGTGCTTGCTGCACGGCAGACTCGTGGCGGCCGCGCTGTCCGCGTCGAGCAGACTCCGGCTGTAGGGCGGCTGGCCGCCCGCGCCGCACCCAAACGCGGTGCTGCTCCAGCGCAGCACCACATACTGCGGTCCGCTCGCGCCGGCGCCGAACGCGGCCGCGCTGCCGTCGTCGATGCGCCGGCCGAGCCCGTCGCCCGACGCCGAGTCGGTGACGTAGTACGAGTCGTCCGACCGCCGCAGCTCCCACGCAGGCTCCGCCTCGGCCGCGCGGCGGCCGACCCCCTCCCCCCTCGCCCCCTCCCGCTTCCCCCCCTCCCGCTTCGCCCCCTCCTCCCCCGCCCCCTCCTCCCCCGCCCCCTCCTCCCCGCCGCCCGGTGCGCCCGCGGGGCGAGGGCCGTCTGGCGAGACGGGAGAGGCCGCCTCCGCCTGGTCGGACGGGGCGCTCGCGTACCGCTGCAGCTCGCGCTCGACTGCGCGGTGCAGCTCGGCGCCGCTCGCGGAAGCGGGCAGCGAGAGGAGGAGCGGCAGGCCGGCGTACGCCTGACGGGACGGAGCCCGCGGCACGCGATGAGAGCTGCGGAGGGGGGGGGGGGGGGCAGAGCGCGCGCTCGCGCCTCCGCGTCTCGTGAAGCGGAGGCCGAGCCTGAGCCTGGCTTCGCCGCCAGCTGCACCAACACCACGGGCAGCAGCGGCTGCCGCGCCGCCTCGCCCTGCTGCGGCGGCGGCTCGGGCGTGCTGGCGGGCGACGGCGGCTCGACCACCACGAAGTCCTCGGTGCCGCACTCGTCGGTCGCCCCGCCGCTGCTGCCCGCCTCCTCCGCCCGCTCCTCCCGCCTTGCGCCCGCCTCCTCGGCTGCGGCCGCCCCCGCCGCCGTCGCCGCGCCCGCCGCGCCCGCCGCGCCCGCCGCGCCCGCCTCCGCTGCGGGCGCGGCTGGCGCATCGCCCGCGGCGGAGGGGGCGCAGAAATCGACGCCCTCGCCCACGTCGTACAGGAAGATGAAGTCGCCGTTGTAGAGCCGCTCCAGCTCGTGGCTCGGCGTGAAGAACTTGTGCACCTTGTGGGCGAGACGTAGGCGAGATCTCGCCGAGATCTCGCCGAGGTGTGGCCGAGGTGTCGCCGAGGTGTGGCCGAGGTGTGGCCGAAGATGTCGCTCAGGTGCGGCCGAGGTGCGGCCGACTGTACACCTTGTGCTCGAACACCTCGCACGCGACCAGCCGGCCGCGCGGCAGCCCAACCTGCTCACGGGCCGAGCTCTCTGCACGGCGTCTCTTCACAGCAGCCGGCCGCATGCCGCAAGCGGGCCTGGTCCGCCGCCTCAGAGAGGAGCGCCTCGATCGTCCCGCTCCGCTCGAGCTCGAGCGAGAGCCTGCGCATGCTCCCGTCCGCGCGGCGCAGCGTCGCGTGCACGACGCGCATGCCGGCGGCGCCGAGCGGGAGCGAGATGGACTTGTACGGGTCCATCGTGATGGAGACCTAGCAGGCGGCGCGGCGTGGACGCGTCCCGGACTGCGCGTCCCTCCGCACGGGCCGCGGGTCGGAGAGAGGTGTGAACAGCGTCTCTTCACACCCACTGTTGTGAATAGGCGGGCCGCGGGTCGGAGAGGGCGATGCGGCGGCAGATGACCTTCTCGCAGACGGGGCAGATGACCTGCAGGAGCAAGAGTGAGAGGGTGCGTGGTGGCGGGAGGGGCGGGAGGGGGCGGGAGGAGGAGGTGAGCAAGATGTGGGAGGTTGTGCGAGGGTGCGAGAGGGGGTGCGAGAGGGTGTTGTGGCGTGGCCTACGACTTGAAGAGGCCCTGGACCAGGTCGAGGAAGTGTCTAGGAAGTGTCTAGGGAGTGTCTAGGGAGTGTCTAGGAAGTGGCCTGCGACTTGAAGAGGCCCTGGACCAGGTCCGACACGCGCGAGTCCTCTCTCTGGCGGTGCCGCTGCAGCACCTGCTTGGCTATCGCCCCGTCCGGCTCGCCGCTCGCCTATTCGAGACGCACTCACACTCCCACCCTCCGCCCATTGCACACCCGCCCGACGGCTCGCCAGCTCTGTCCTCGAAGTTCTCGACATACGGCTTCTTGCGCACGCGGTTGACGTCTTCGTGCAGCGCTGCGGGTGTGCGTCGGTGGGGGTCGGTGGGTGTGTCGCGGGCGAGGGCCGCGGAGTGGGCCGGAGGGGTTGGCCGACAGGAGCTGCGCGGGCGCGTGGCGTGCGACCGCGCACCGTCGACCACAAAGTTGCACAGCTCGTGCGAGTCGTGCTGCGAATAGCCGAGGAACTGCGGCGCGTGCCGGCCGAGCACCAGCTTGAACTCGCGTGGAGAGACGACGCTCGACGGGCCGAACCACATCTGCCGCATCAGCGCCTACCTCGCCGCAGGAGCAGAGGTCAGCACGGCGGGACGGGCGTGGGGCCCGCCAGGGCCTCCCACTGCTCGTCGACTGCGGCGGCAGAGGCGCACCGCGTAGGAGCGTGCCAGCTGGCCCTGCGTGCCGTCGCGGTTCTCGGCATTGAGCTCGCGCTCGTAGGCGCCGGAGGTGAAGTACTCTCTCAGCGGCGCGACAGCGGCGAGCGACTGCAGCATCGACGCCATGAAGCACGTGTTGCCCAGGTTGGAGAGGCCGACCTTGCCGCTGTGCTCCGGCACGCCTCCGCTCCCGTCGAGCGGACCGCCCTCCTCGGCGGCGGCGGCGCTGCCGGCGGGGCTGCTGCTGCCCGCCGCGGTCTCGATCGCGCCCCACCCGGCTCCGGCGCCTCCGAACAGGTCGTCAATCTCCTCGGCCTGCTCCGCCTCTGGCCACTCTCCGCTGTGCATGTGCTCCACGAGCACGTGTTGGCCATCGCAGAGCCGCGCGCCATCCAGCGTGGCGCTCATATCGCTCAATGCGCCGTGCCGCCGCTCCTGGAAGTAGTCCACCAGCCGCACGTCCGCCTCCTCCAGCGCGAGCGCCTCGGCGGCGGCACGGCGCAGCGTGCCGACCGCCTCGGCTCCGTCGAGCTCGAGCGGCTCGCCCGCGTCCGCGCGGCGCTGGGTCAGCTGCTCGTCCCGTGAGAGCAGCACCAGCCTCAGGCGCATGACTAGCTGGCTCAAGTGCGCGGGCGTGGCGACCGTCTATGCTCGCGCGTCGTCGGCCTCTCTCGCCACGGCACGGGCCAGAGATGCACCTGAAGCTCCTGTATTCCCACAGCCAGACAGACGGCCGCGCGTATGCGCGTCGTCGCCCCGAGAGCGACCGCACAGGCACGCAGCCGCCGCAGCTGCCGCTGCTCTCGGCCCTCCCCGCATCCACCCAGCCCCTCGTTCCCGAACCTTGATTCTTTTGCGGCATGCGGCTTGCGGGTTGCGGGGCCCCGGGGCCGCAGTCGAGTCGGCACGGAGCTATCAAGTGGGCGCTGGGCGTGGGGCGGGTGAGCCGCGTGCGCGACGCGTACCGGCGTACATGAGTTGTATGAGAGAGAGCGCAGCGGGTTAACGGTTCGTATGTAAATTGTAATTCGTATTTCGTCACAATTTTGGGGTTCCTTCACTCCGCGTGTCGTACGCGCCCGGGGGCGGAGGATGGAGGGGGGCAAATCTTCTAGTATATAAAAAGAGGGCGGGCTGGCAGGTCAGGCGTGCGGCGCGCACCGCAGAGAGGGGCGGCGGCGCACGACACGCGGTGAAGCGCAGACAAACATGAGCACAGGCATAGGCGGTGCCGCCGGTCCGGCTGGCGGCAAGACTGCAAGGTGATGAGTTGTGGTTCACTGCTGGCAGGATGCGGGTGGGATGCGGGACAGGCGGTTCCAACAAATGTCAAGACGGGCGGAGACGCGGAGACGGGCCGACGCAGCGCGGCAGCCCGCGCGGCAGTTCTGGTTAATCACGGGACGAGCAAAGGCACCGGGCGGCTGGCGGTCGCCGCGGAGGGAAGAGGCGCCGGCGCGGCGTCTAGTAGCCGCCGGAGTGGCGGCCGCCGTTGCGCGGCGCGCCCTGGACGTGTTCGCCATGTGGGCCGCAGACGTCGATCGCCTTCTTCTTGCCGCGCTCCTCGATGACCTTGAACTCGACCTGCGGGCAGGCGCAGGAAGGGGTGCCAGTTGGGCGCGCGTCGGGCACGCGGTGTGTGCGCGGTGACGGCAGCGCTCACCTCCTCCTCCTCCATCAGCGAGCGGAAGCCGGGCGCGGAGATTGCCGACTGGTGCACAAAGAGGTCGTCCTCCCCGCTGCGCGGCGCGATGAAGCCAAACCCCTTCTCGCTGTTGAACCACTTGACCTTTCCGATCTGTTTGCCATCCGACGGCTCAACGCCCTCGGGCCAAGCGCGCGGCTTCGCCTGGCCGCCTCGGCCACCGCCGCCGCCGCCGCCGTTGTCGCCCTTGACATAGTTTCCATGCGGGCCCGTGACATTGGTGGCCTTCATCTTGCCGTCCTCCTCCACCGGCACATACTCGATCTTCTCGCCCTCGCCGAGCGAGCGGAAGCCCTCTGCGTGGATCGCCGATTGGTGGACGAAGAGATCCTCACCGCCGCTGTCGGGCGTGATGAAGCCGAAGCCCTTTTGCGAGTTGAACCATTTGACAGTGCCGGTATCCGGCATGCTGACAGGAGGCCTGCGCCGCGGCGACGCAGGTGCCGTGAGGGAGGGCTCCGACTGCACTACTCAGCAGCAGCGGACGCAGTGCCGATTACGCAGGTCTGCGCAGCGGCCGCGGTGGCTGCGGCGGCCCAGCTCACGGGGTGACCACGCGCGGCACAGGCGCGCGGCGCGGCGGTCTGGCTGGGAGAGGCGCGAGAGGCTGACGGCCGCCGCGCAGCAAAGGGCGGTGGGTGGCTACGATAGCAGGCTCTCTGCCTTGTGTGAAGTTGGGTGCCCTGTGACGCGCCAGAAAAGAAAAACGTGGGCGAACCTCGTCGCTATCAGCTATCGACCTACCGTGTCCTAGACCCCCTGGCTGGGTGTCTTCTTCCGCAGCTTTCATCCCTCGCCTCCGTCGCCCTGACCCTCCCTCTCGGCAAGCCGAGGGCCCAACTTGAGAATCGTGCTTTTTGAGTGAAGGAAGTCACTAATTCAAACACTTGGTATTGCTAAAAATCTCTCTCTCTCTCTAATTCAACAAACAAAAAGCCGCGCGCGGCAGCGTTGACCGCACGGCCTACTCGCCCAAGTACTCGCTCTCTTTTATGTCCCACCATGCAGAGCGCATCTCTCTCTCTGTTGTGCGAGGCGTGAACCGCGCCATTCGCTCTCACCTGGCAACCCTGTCTGCACGTCTCGCGCGCGCGTGAACAAGGCTCCAGGCCCCAAATGACGTCGCTATCAGCTATCGACCTACCAGTCCTAGACCCCCTCCACCATGCAGAGCGCATCTCTCTCTCTGTTGTGCGAGGCGTGAACCGCGCCATTCGCTCTCACCTGGCAACCCTGTCTGCACGTCTCGCGCGCGCGTGAACAAGGCCCAAAGCTGTCCCCCCCCCGCAAACTTTAACCCTCCATAAACATCATTTTTCAGGGGCTCCAGGCCCCAAATGACGTGTGAGTGTTAGAGTTGTTTGGTATTGCTAAAAATCTCTCTCTCTAATTCAAACAAATTATTGCTCTCTCTGAAGTCTGAGTGAAGGATCTCAAAAAGTGAAGGTTCTTCACGTGAAGGGCCACACTCGGGCTCGGAGGTGCAGACCCCAACAAATAATTTCGCGCCGCCTCGCCGCGCGCCGCTGCTGCCCTCGCCAGCAGCCGCCGCGGTTGCGCAGCGTCCCGTTGGTATTCGCAGCCAGAGGACTTCCTTTTGGGCAGCCACGTCCGTCAGCAGACAGCAGCTTGCTGCTGGCACACGGCCGCCCGCCAGTGAGCAGTTTCGGCTGAGCGGGTCGTGCAGAAAACAGAACTTCTGCGCGCGGCAGCATTATACCGCACGGCCTACTCGTCCAATACTCCTCTCGCTCTCTTTTATGTCCCACCATGCAGAGCGCATCTCTCTCTCTGTTGTGCGAGGCGTGAACCGCGCCATTCGCTCTCACCTGGCAACCCTGTCTGCACGTCTCGCGCGCGCGTGAACAAGGCTCCAGGCCCCAAATGACGTGTGAGTGTTAGAGTTGTTTGGTATTGCTAAAAATCTCTCTCTCTAATTCAAACAAATTATTGCTCTCTCTGAAGTCTGAGTGAAGGATCTCAAAAAGTGAAGGTTCTTCACGTGAAGGGCCACACTCGGGCTCGGAGGTGCAGACCCCAACAAATAATTTCGCGCCGCCTCGCCGCGCGCCGCTGCTGCCCTCGCCAGCAGCCGCCGCGGTTGCGCAGCGCCAAAGGGCGAGAACTGGCCGACAGCTCTGCGTCCCGTTGGTATTCGCAGCCAGAGGACTTCCTTTTGGGCAGCCACGTCCGTCAGCAGACAGCAGCTTGCTGCTGGCACACGGCCGCCCGCCAGTGAGCAGTTTCGGCTGAGCGGGTCGTGCAGAAAACAGAACTTCTGCGCGCGGCAGCATTATACCGCACGGCCTACTCGTCCAATACTCCTCTCGCTCTCTTTTATGTCCCACCATGCAGAGCGCATCTCTCTCTCTGTTGTGCGAGGCGTGAACCGCGCCATTCGCTCTCACCTCTGGCAACCCTGGGTTTGACTGTTTTGGGGGGTGGGGTAGTGTGGGGTCAGGGGATCTGTGCATAACCCCCACCTCCCCACCCCACTACACACATGCAGGCATAGCGCCTACACCCTACCCCCCTACCCCCAGGTCTCCAGTAGCTGAACCTGTAATGGTAGTAGCTACGGTCCGACAGGGGCGACAGCGTCAGCCGTCACCTCACCCCCCGCCGCCCCTCCGCGCGCCCGCGCACCCCCTACCCCCATCTGCCTCCAGACGAGCTGCTGTAACGGTAGCGTGTACGGTCCGACCGTCAGCGTCACCTCACGCCCCGCCCCCTCCGCCTCCGCGCGCCCGCCGCCCGTGGATCTCTATTCACGTTTGTCTCTCTTACCGTGGAGGCGGGAATGGCTGGGGCGCGGCCACCCCCTACCCCTCTACCCCTGCGGCGGCAGAGCGGCCGAGCCCCACCCCCTATACCGCCCTGCACAAACCCCCGGCTGCTCGAGTACCCATCTCTCTTGGGCGGCGTCGATGTCCTCGAACCGCGGTCTCGGGAAACGCGTGGCCGCCGACGCCGACGCGCCGGCGGCCTTCCGCAAGGCCAGCTGGACTCTCACGAATCGTGGCCGCACGGCGACCGGCCATGGCGGAATTGGCGATCCTCCCGGGACCGAGCGAGCTGCCACTTTGAGGGGCGGTTCTCGTTCAAGCTGCGCATCGACAAGGTCTACAAGCAGACCGAACGCATCAGCTTTGGCGTGCCTTGCGACGCTGACCCCGCACAGCCGTGATGATCACACCGACGCTGTCGAGGGCTCGACATCGCTTGCCTGCATGCGGCAGCAGGGAGGCGCGCGGCGCGGCGGTCTGGCTGGGAGAGGCGCGAGAGGCTGACGGCCGCCGCGCAGCAAAGGGCGGTGGGTGGCTACGATAGCAGGCTCTCTGCCTTGTGTGAAGTTGGGTGCCCTGTGACGCGCCAGAAAAGAAAAACGTGGGCGAACCTCGTCGCTATCAGCTATCGACCTACCGTGTCCTAGACCCCCTGGCTGGGTGTCTTCTTCCGCAGCTTTCATCCCTCGCCTCCGTCGCCCTGACCCTCCCTCTCGGCAAGCCGAGGGCCCAACTTGAGAATCGTGCTTTTTGAGTGAAGGAAGTCACTAATTCAACAAACAAAAAGCCGCGCGCGGCAGCGTTGACCGCACGGCCTACTCGCCCAAGTACTCGCTCTCTTTTATGTCCCACCATGCAGAGCGCATCTCTCTCTCTGTTGTGCGAGGCGTGAACCGCGCCATTCGCTCTCACCTGGCAACCCTGTCTGCACGTCTCGCGCGCGCGTGAACAAGGCTCCAGGCCCCAAATGACGTGTGAGTGTTAGAGTTGTTTGGTATTGCTAAAAATCTCTCTCTCTAATTCAAACAAATTATTGCTCTCTCTGAAGTCTGAGTGAAGGATCTCAAAAAGTGAAGGTTCTTCACGTGAAGGGCCACACTCGGGCTCGGAGGTGCAGACCCCAACAAATAATTTCGCGCCGCCTCGCCGCGCGCCGCTGCTGCCCTCGCCAGCAGCCGCCGCGGTTGCAGCGCCATCGTCCGGACACTGGCGGGGCGACTTGCCACACCGATTTCAACCCACGCGACGCGCTCGGCCTCCGCTGGCGGCTGCCGCAAGAGCGCGGCTGGCTCACGACAGCGGTTTTCCCCTTTCCCGGATAGGAGAGTGCAGAACGTCTGGAGTGGTAACTGTGTGTGGACGTGAGATCGGATCTTGGTTACAAGCACGGTCGGACTAGCCTCTTGAGCACTTGAGCACTTGATAGGGTCGATTCCGCATGGTACGGGACCCCTCGATCGTCTCGCCCACCCTCACTGGTGTGTTCATTGGGGGGGTCATAACAAACACGGTACAGGATTGAGGTGCACGCTGCCGAAGCAGTGCCGTCCCCCCTCTCCCCGACGGCGATGGCGGTGTGACCGATCGAGCTACAAGAGGAGCTTGTTCAGCAGGACTAGCCTCTAGCGATTCACACACACTCGTTTATGTTCCCCTCCGAGCTTGACACAGACAGAGCTCAGCGCCTACAAGGAGGCAGCGGCGGGGACGGACACAGACACCCCGAAGACGCCAACGACGGCGACGAAGATGGAGAGAGGAGCGAGGACGAAGAGATGCCCGACCGCACAACAGAGCCAGGGCCGAGCGAGCAACCACCCGAAACGGGCCATCCAAACGAAGGCAGCCAGACAGACGACGAATTCACAGTGATGGACGTAGACGAGGAACAGCCAGAGCACGAGGCGTCCCAGCCGCAGAGGAAGCGGGGGCGATTTGAGAATGAACGTAGCGATTCAATGGGTCAGGCAGAGGGGGCGAGCCAACAGCACACAGAGGACGGGGGGCCGGTGACGTACGGGGAGGAGCGCGCACGCACTGCAGGGGACGAAAGGCACGAAGGCGCCCCCCCGCCGGGGTGGGTGCGAGGAGGCGAGACGCGGGGGGCACAGCTTGGACAGCAGGCGCGCAAGAGACAGAAAGCCAGGGAACAAAGAGGAGGCAAGTAGGGGGGGTGGCTCGTAACTGAGGTTCGCCTTCAGAGACAGCCGCCTCCCCATGTGGTGATTGTTGTTCATAACGATATCCCTACAACCACGATCGATGCGAGGACGCAAGCCCACACCAAACTCGGCCATTCCAACGGCCAGACCGCTCGCTTAAGGCTGATTGGCTAGACGAGCGGTCTACCCCCGACGGGGCGGCCTGGATCAACGGGGGATGACATCCTGCCTCCCGGCACGCCGGGAGGAGGTGGGTGCTCCGCCGCCGGACCCCCCCCTCCATCACCCTCGCCCAGGGATCTACAATGCTGTCTTAAGGTCCGACAGGTTCGGCACCGGGCACCGCCTCGGTATACAAAATGCGCCTGCGGGCGGACCCTTACAGATCACAGATCACAGAGCTCAGCGCGAGCCCGCTAAAACAAGGAATCGTCCGGCAAGAAGGAGCTCTCGATCGATCGATGGATGGGGGAGAGCGAGAACTGTCAGACAGAGAGGTGCTCACAGGGAGGTATGATGCACTCCAAAACAAAAGCACGATGACAAGTAGAGAGATTTCCAGCAATACCAAACAAACAAACAACTCTAACACCCAAACAAAGTCCCAAACAACTTTAACACTCACACCAATCCTAGAAGAGAAGACGTAGTGCATCCGAATCGACCCTATCAAGTGCTCAAGTGCTCAAGACGTCAAGAAGTGACCTCCTTATCAGCAGCTTATCAGCTCGTGGTCGGCCGCCATCGGGCCTCCGGGCCTGCTGCGGCGGCGCGGCCGGTTGAGGCCGGGCTCGGCCCGGCCCGCGACGGCTGGCCGCCGACGAGCGCGCTCGCGCTGCTCGTCAAAATGGCGGCGGTGTCGATTGCGGCGACGGTCGTTCAGTCGCTCAGCGCTCAGTCGTCTGTCGTCTGTTGTCGCATTTCGCACACGCGCGCGCCGCGCGACCCGCGTCGCTCCGCGAGGGCATGAGCCTTCCGCGATTCGATCCCGCAGCCAAAAGCTGCTCGCTCGAACCGCGGCCGACTCTGCCATCGCGGCTGCAGCTGTTGAGCTCTCCAGAAGACTGGTGCCTGATATGCTGCCTCCCTGCGGATGCTGCCGGCGAGCCTGGCGGTCCGCGGTACTACAAGGAAGTGCTGACTCGATGCCTTCCCGCAATCTTCTACCCGTACGACTCGGAACACGAATGTGACAGGACCATCGGGTCCTTCGGCCACCACAAAGCGAGATCACCCGAGAGCAGCTGAGTCTGCCTCTGGCCTCGCCTCCCTCTCCTTCAGGCATTCGTGGCATCCTATGGGTCGACCAGAGTATCGACCTCTGGCTTGTCAGCCGCCCCACCGAGGGCACCATGAAGTACAGCGATCGCCATCTCGCTGGCCTCTCCGCGCCCCCCGACCGCGTCGAACTCACGGCGCGGGCTCTCTCGGCTACGGGACCGGCCCCAGCTTCGGCTGAGGGCTGACAAGCTGCCGAGCCCAAATCACTGTGAGAGTCGTGATTTCTTGTTGGTTTTCAAAAATCTCTCTCTCCCAGTCCTCGCTACCCAACGCAGCCAAAGGATATCCACCTCGAGAACCTCGAGAGAACACTCACACACATTTGTAACTCCCAACACAGAAGAATATAGGCCCAGCTTACGAGTCTGATCCGGGCGTAACGCCAGCACTGCAGTCTAATTCGCGAAAGAGATCTTCCTAGGAAGATATGTATGTAGGAAGGTGAAGAACAGCCCAGGCTCGGACTGGATGGACACACCAACGCGGTATGGCGTATGGGTGGACGCTGGACAGATGATGACGACACGCACGAGCGACACACAGACACAAACAGGCTCACAAGACACACAGCCAGCTGGCTGCCACACACCCTGAGTTGGCGTACACATAACACAGGGCCACGCCGAAAGAATTCGTGGGCGCGAGCTGTTGGCGGCACGACCTCCAAGCCCGGCTTATCTTGACTTGATGTCCCTCGGCAATGCACCGCCGCCGGCGGACCGGCCGCGCAAGGACAAGCCGAACAAACAGCCGCCGTCGTTCGACGTGTGCAAGCGCAACGCGCTGGGCAAGTTGGACAAGAGCCCAAAGGGCTCGCTCGACGAGCCGATTGCGCCGCTCGTGCACGCCATCAACGCCCACCCAGACTACGTGACCACCTCCTGCTGCTCCGGGCGCGTCTCGCTCTTCGCCACGGCGAGCGAGCAGACCAAGGGCTACCGCGGTGGCCGCTGGCTCCTCGTCCGGCACGCGACCGTGACTGCGGAGGAGCTGACCGCCGCCCTCGCGCCAGCCCTGACGGCGGCGGAGACGGAGGCGGCGGCGGACGGCAGCGGGGCGGAGGCGACGGATCTGGTGCTCTTCAAGCACGAGCCGGGCATCTTGCACGTGCAGTGCCGCGACGTCGAGGCGGCCAAGCGGCTGCTGCAGGTTGCGCTCGGCGCAGGGTACCGCGAGTCGGGCCTGGTGCTCTCGTCGTCGGCAAAGGTGATGCTGGCGATCCGGACGACGGCCAACTGCCTCGAGCTCCCCGTCGCGCGGCGCGGCGCCTGCCTCCTCCCGGCAGCCTACCTCGAGCTGCTCACAGCCCACGCCAACGAGAAGTTCGTCGCCAACCAGGCGCGCACCGACGCGCTGCACGCCGCCTTTGACGCCGCCTTCGACGCCGCCTGCCCCGCCGGCCCGAGATGCGAAGACTGTGCCGCGCCGCCCGACAGCGGTGGGTCCGCCGTAGAGCCCGAGCCGTCCCCGCAGATCGTCGCGACCGGCCCGCCGAGCGCTGACGGCGGCGGTGGCGAAAGAGGCGGCGGCGGCGGGGGAGGCGGTGGCGACGGTGAGGGAGACGGCGGCAGCGGCGGCGAGGGAGGCGACGGCGGCGGTGGAAGAGGCGGCCCGGGGGAGGCGGCGGTTGAGGGCGTGGGCGGCGAGGAGGAAGGCGAGGGCGGCGAGGGCGAGGGCGGCGAAGGCGAGGGCGAGGCGGCATCGAGCGAGGCGCACGAGGCGTTGCGTCGACAGGCCGCCGCCGCCACGCGCGGGCGCGTCAAGCACTTCGTCAACCTGAGCAACGGGCTGCAGGCGCTGGAGCCGCTGCTGTGCGCGCACATCCGGCGCGAGGAGGTTTGCTACTGCCGGCTGCAGTCGAGCCATTGCGAGCAGCGCGACTACGTCGGCGAGACACAGCCGAGATAGCAGCCGAGATGGCAGCCGAGATGGCAGCCGAGATGGATGGAGCCGAGATGCAGTCGAGCCACTGCGAGCGACTTTAAGGGCGTGGCCGGCTCGCTGCGCCGCGGCCGGAGTTGGTGACTCCCCTGCCGCGTGAGCAGGCGTGCTCGGCTCGCTCGACCACCACCTTTTGCTTCACCTCGCGCTCGGGTGCGCGAGCCGCGTGTACGAGTCATTACGGCGGGGGGGAGGAGGAGGACGGCGGCGGCGACGACAATAGGTACACGTGCCGCGTGTACGACTTCGGCTCGCGCCGCAAGCGATGGCCGGGCGAGGGGCTCGAGCTCTGCGTCCCGTCGGCGCTGTGGTGGGGCCTCGAGGTCGCGCGCTACTCGCTCGCCAAGCTATGGAGGCTGCCCGGCGCGGCCGCGGCGCGGTGCCTCCTGCACGGCCACGACGCGTCGTCACAGGCCGGCGGCGTGCTCCCACGGGCTTTGGCGTGGAGAGCGCCCCGTCACAGCGTGGCGCGCGTGTGACCAGGTCGACGGCGTGCTCTCGCGGCTGCCGCCGCCGCTCGCGCGCCGCCTCAAGTACTACCGCGCCCTCGCCACCACCGACGCCGTGCGGCTCGAGGCGGTCTTTGCGAGGACGGCGCTCGACGGGCAGCGCGCCGCCTTCGCCGCCATGCTGTGGAGGAGCATGCTGCCCGGCGCCGAGGCGGGCGAGGCGGCGGACGAGGGGCGAGCAGAGGCGGGAAAGGCTGTCGCGCCGCCGCCGCCACCAGAGAGCTTGGGGATGCGCCGTTTCGTGCCGGCCCTCTTCAGCGAGGGCGCGCGCTTGCGGGAGCTCGATCCGGAGTCAGCGGAAACTTGATCGTTCCTCTAGCCGAACGAAAAGAGAAGTATGAGCAGCGCTAGTCGCAGTGTGAAACCACTGCGTTCGACCCTTCTCGCTGGGGCCTGGGGATGAAAATTCTTTATTGCTTTTCGCTTTGTTGGCAAATCAGCTCAGAGACGGAATATCTGAGCGGCCTCTTCTATTTGCGCTCAAACTCTTTTTATGCGTGCCATACACACGCGACACCCGACACGGGGGCCGCGGTGCGCAATTTTAGGAGCGGGGGCCCCGGGGTGCCCGGAGGCGTGCTCCCCGTTTAGGAATCCTAGTTCCGACGAGCTGGCCACACCTTCCTATGGGCTAACCTCGGAATGTACCACCAGAATGGCTGTGCTGGCTCCTTCACAGCCATCTTACCTAAGGATGGCTGAGCTAGCTGCAGTGCAGCCACATCCTTCAGCCCGATGGCTGCAACACACACACAGCAGCCATCCTTAGTACATGGCTGGAGACGCACTACCGCAGCCACACACCGCCCGCCTCGAGCGAGGTGAGCCCTCTTGGCTGACCTGGCTACATCGCAGCCATCTTGGGAAAGATGGCTGGGGGACAGCCATTTCAGCCATTTTTCAGCCATCTACTATGGCTGCGTCATAGTACATAGAGATTGCAGCCGTCCTCCAGAGCCATGGCTGGTGGTAATTCGATGGCAGCCGATGGCAACCGTCCCGCGAGGCCGGGGGCGACAAGCGCGCAGCCATTTGTGCGTGTGGCGCGGGGGGGGGCAGGGGCGGCTCAGGATCACAGACACCCCTCTCAGGATCACAGCACCGGCGGGGGGGCGCCTCAGGATCAAGCACCCACGGCAGGATCTGTGGGGATCAGCAGACCTTGAGGGGGCGCGCTGAGGATCATGGGCCTGAGAGGGGTGCTGTCAAGATCACAGGGCTGCAAGGGTGGCACTCGAGATCAGAGCGCCAAAATAGGTGCAATACAGATCAGCGGCCGGAAGTGGGCGCAATAAGGATCATGAGCGCCGGAACGGGTGCAATAAGGATCATGAGCGCCGAACGGGTGCAATAAGGATCATGAGGGTTTTGTGGTCTGTGCGCGGACGGCCCGGGGAGCCTGCGGCGCTATTTTAACCTGCCCCGACAGAGTCTCTCGATACGGCGCGCGGCGGCGCCGCACCCAGCAAGCTGGGGCCGCTCCTTACGGACTCGTCGCTGCGCTCCTCAAGGCAAACACGGAGCGCGCTGCGCGCGCGGTCTACGCCGAATACTGCGGCCGCCGTCACGACTGCCATCCTCGGCGGCGCCGTGCGCGCGAGCGGCGCCGATGGCCAGCCCGGCGTCACCTCCCAGCGACAAGCGCATGAGCGACAGGACGCGCATGAGCGACCCGGTCCAGCGCACGTGATTGGGCGCGTGACGGTTGCATGATGTCAATTGCACCAACTTCGGCGCTCGTGATCTGTATTGCGCCCACTTCCGGCCGCTGATCTGTATCGCACCTATTTTGGCGCTCTGATCTCGAGTGCCACCCTTGCAGCCCTGTGATCTTGACAGCACCCCTCTCAGGCCTATGATCCTCAGCGCGCCCCCTCGCGGTCTGCTGATCCCCACAGACCCTGCCTTGGCCTGCACAAGCTTTTCCGGCAAACAAAAAGGAAAACAAAGGGTCCCCAGCACTTTGCGTTTCCGGAAATTTCCAGGGAAAACAGAGGGTGTTTGGTGCTCCATTCTGGAAACTCGCGAGTTTCCCTGAGTCTGAGAGCTGGTCTGGGGCAAAATCTGAGGCAAAATTGAGGAAATCGGCACGATACCCAGGCGGTCGCAGGGTATTTTCCAGCTATACCCGGGGTTTTCCAGGTATACCCGCAAAATACCCGGTATTTTGCCGATTTGGCTGATTTTGGGCCCAAACCAGCCTCACCCTCAGACTCGGCTCAGAGCCCGGAAAATTTGATGGTTTCCCTGGAGTTTTCCCGGGAAAATAGAGAGGAAAAGAGAGGGTGCTGTAGAGAAAAAAGGAAAGGAAAAGAGACGGTGTGCGAGAGGAAAAGCTTGTTCAGCCTAAACCCTGCCGTGGGTGCTTGATCCTGAGGCGCCCCCCCGCCGGTGCTGTGATCCTGAGAGGGGTGTCTGAGATCCTGAGAGAGGCTTATCTGGCGCGGGGGAGGCGGACGGCTGGCCTGCCATCGAATTATCACCAGCCATGCTCCGGAGGATGGCTGCACTGACTGTGGCCCCAGCCATAGTAGATGGCTGAAATGGCTGTCCGCACCCCCAGCCATCTTACCCAAGATGGCTGCGATGTAGCCAGCTAAGCCAAGAGGGCTCACCTCGAGGCGGGCGGTATGGCTGCGGTACTCGAGTAGTGTGTCTCCAGCCATGTCTACCAAGGATGGCTGCCGAGTGCCGTGTGTGTATTGCAGCCATTAGACTGGAGGATGTGGCTGCACTGCAGCTAGCTCAGCCATCCTTAGGTTCAGATGGCTGTGAAGGAGCCAGCGCACAGCCATTCTCCATTTGGTGGTACATTCCGAGGTTAGTTAGCCCTTCCTATGTGAGCTCTCAGTCGCGCTCGTGTTTTGTGTGAGGAAGGGCGCTTGGGTCTAAATTTAGTGCGTGTGAATGAACTTTAGAGCGCGCTAAATTCGCGCTAACTAAAGTGCACTAAGATGCAGTAGATAAACACTTCATTCAGTCCTCTTCACACCGGACACCGCACTAAATTTAGAGCCAAGCCTGGCGAGGTACTCCCACGCCTCTCGTGGTTTTTGTCTGGCCGAGTCAACCCGAGCCTCGGCGAGACTGCGTCAGCTGTTCCCACAGCAGGCTTGAAGTGCCCCTCTGTGTTGAGGCTCGCAAAAAAATGGGTGAGGTGAGCGTCGCTGACGACGAGTCCGACTCGACCGCCGACCTGCCGCTCACACTCGACCTCCTCCCCGAGGATGCGCTCACTCGCATCCTCGAGGCGATTAGCGGTACGCACCACGATCGGCGGCGCGAACTTTTCGCGGCGGCCTGCACCTGCCGACGGCTGCACGCCAGCGCGGCGCGCGCGGCACGCGAGCATGTGCTGTCGCTGCTGCCTCCCGACTGCCCCTGGGTCGGGCAGCCGCCTCCGGTGTGTCAAATATACCTCGGGGTGGGAGCACGCACGCGCAGACGCAGACGCTAGCACGCACACATCGCAAACAAGCCGACTCGGTCACGGCGGACACGCCGCCCGCTCGGCAAAGGTGTGGTCGCGCTGCTACGGCGAGGCGTGCGAGCTCTGGCGTGCGAGGTGGCGGAGCGCGCCCGATGATTTGAATCTGAACGAGGGGCATTCGATCGCCTGCCCGCCGCAGCCAGTCTTTGCGCACTCCGCCTCGCTGTGGCGGCAGAAGCTCTTTGTCTTTGGGGGCAGGCACTCGGAGACACGCCCAGACACACACACCCTGGACGCTCAAGCTCTCTCTCTCTCTCTCTTTCTCTCTCTCTCTATTCCCCCCCCCTCTCGCTCTCTCTCTCTCTCTCTCTCTCTCTCTCTCTCTCTCTCGGCAGGCTTAATTATCATTATTATATGATGACGATGATTTTCAGGCACACCGAGACGTACAGCGACTCGCTCTCCATGCTCGACCTCTCCGCCCCGTCGCCCCGGTGGGGGGAGGTGGCCACCCTCGGCGCGCCGCCCTCGAAGCGGCGCGCGCACACGGCCACCGTCTGCGACGGCCGGCTCTACATCTTGGGCGGCGGCGTCGCGCACGCCGAGACGTGCGGCGACATGCACTCAGTCTCGCTCACGCCGCCGCACACGTGGCGCGCCGAGCCGTCGCCGGCGCGCTGGCGCCGCTTCGGCCACACTTCCGTCCTCGTCGCCTCGCCGCCAGCCTCGCCGCCGACGCGCCGGCGCGCCCCTCCGCTGTGGTCGCCATCCCCCCTCGCCACGGGCTTGGCCCTCGAGGCGCTCGAGGCTGGCGTCCGAGAAGCGCTCGAAGTCCAGGCGGCGCGGGGCGTGGCCGGCGGCGACCTCATCGTATTTGGCGGGGCGAGCTACCGTCCGGGCGAGATGCAGCCGAGACAGAGATGCAGCCGAGATAGCGCCCGAGACAGGCACGAGAGACAGCCGAGGGACAGCCGAGGGACAGCCGAGGGACAGCCGAGGGATAGCCGAGGTACAGCCGAGAGACAGTCGAGGGACAGCCGAGTACAGCCGAGGGATAGCCGAGGTACAGCCGAGGGACAGCCGAGGGACAGCCGAGGTACAGCCGAGGTACAGCCGAGAGAGGGACGCGGCGTCCGTGCCGCAGGCGCTGCGCTCGAGGGGGACAGCATCACGCGTGCGTACGACGTGAGGCGCGCACGCTGGCGGGAGCTCTCCACCCGCGGATCGGAGCCGCGGCCTCGCTACCGCCACGCCGCGGCGCTGCTGCCCGCGCCTGCCGCCGGCGCCGGCGCCGCCATGGCCGTGTGGGGCGGCTATCTGCGGCGCGCCGAGGGCCGTTCCCCCGCCGGCATGCATGGAAGCTGAGAGGCCGGCCCGCGGCCGCGTGCCTCCGCAGGCGGATGGACGAGGGCTCGAACGTCCTCGCCACAAACGAGCTCTTTCTGCTTCGGCGGCCGCTCGCGCGCGCGGGAGGGGCGCGTGTCGACGACGCGTCCGTGACGCGTCCGCGGCATGTGGCGCAGGCTACACTCGCTGACGTGGGAGGCGCCGCGCACGAGCGGCGCGCCGTCCGAGCGGCGCCGTCCCGTCCGTGGCTCGCCCCGTGGCGAGTCGGCCACACGCGCGCCCCTGTAGGCCCCTCTCCCGAGCCTCGAGGAGGCCACACGGCGTCGCTGATCGGCAAGCGCACTCTCTGGCGGAGGCACGAGGCGGCGCGAGCGAGCCTGTTGAGCCGCCGCTCGTTCGCGCGCGTGTCAGGCGACAAGATTCTCATCTTTGGCGGCGGCCAGCTGACTCTCGACGGCGAGGAGGAGCGCTGGAACGAGCACGACCTGCCGGGTGCCACCCCCACGCACCAAAGTCTCCCCCCCCCCCCCCCGGGCCCCCGTCCCCTCCGTTGGGGGTGCGCCGAGGATCTGAGCCCCACCCCTTGTGCAGGCCTAGCGTGGCTCGACACCTCGTGCTGGGCATACGGCGACCACACGCGCGACCGCGGGCGAGGGGTCTGTGGAGCCCTCCCCGAACCTTCCGGGAACCTTCCTGTAGGCGCCCCGGCAACCACAGGCGAGGAGCCGGGAGCGCGCGGCGGGCACACGGCGCACGTCATCGGCCACGACGGCGCGATCTCGCTCCACATAGATCATAGTTGGCCGCCGTCGTTGCGGGGACAGCGGGTGGGGTTCACTCCTTTAGGCGCAATTTCGCTCCTCATTCTCGGCGGTCGCCGGTACGAGGCGCGCGCCTCTCCGCGCGGCACGTCCTTGGCACATCGCGCTGACATGCCCCTGGCGCGTCCCCGACATGTCCTGCAGGCGGGAGCTACCGGGAGGCACCACGGCCGCGCAGAGGCGCACGTGCTGCAGCTGGGCGGCTGACATGCGAGTTAAGGTGCTGCATCGGTGCATGCGTGCACACACTGTCGACAACCACCAGCCCGACGCTCACTACAGTTAACACCGTCGAGTCGATTCACGAGGCGCGCCGCCGCGAGGGCTCAGTGGAATTTAAACGACAGCGGGAGGCGGGGGGCGGGCGGGGCGTGTTGCGTGTGGTCATTTGTGCATTGACCATTGTGAGTTATCGGAACATATACAGGTGTCGAAAGGGGTGGGTCACATTCAGCGAGGGTCCTTGCGCACTATCAATTCGAGTCATGTCGCTCTCGCTCTACATCAACGTATCAAACCCTTCAGGGGATCAGGGCGCTGGCGGCTTGGGCGTGAAGCCAAAGGCGGGTGTTGCGTCGTTTGGAGGAGAGCCATCCTCGTTGAAGCCCTTGGGCTCCCAAAGGCTACCACCGAGCACGAGCGAGACGATGCCGGCGACGATGAGAAAGCCAGCGAAGCCGAGCGTGAGGCTCGACTTGAACTCACTCAACTCCTCCGGTGTCGGCTCTGGCGCGGATGGTCGGTCCGAGAGACCCTGAAGCGTGCTGTCGTACCCCCGCTCGGCGGATGCGTCCCGCAGCTTCTCCAGTGCCGCCCGCCCGCGTGCCTCCTCTGCCTCGTAGCGCCGTGAGCCGAAGCCTACACCCGCTGTTGACGTCTCCGGCTGCCCGCCATCAGGGTCGGAGGCGAGGCGCGGCATGGCTCGAACTCGTCCTTTTGAAGGAGCAGGAGCGTGCAGGCAGTGGACGGAGACGCAAAGGAGGAGCGCCGCTGCCCAGCACGTGTGGCACCGCATCGAGCGGCGAGCGAATTGGGTGCGCAGCGTGCCTCCTGGCTTTGCCTGGCACGGACTAAAAGAATTGTATCCTGGCAAAATCCTGCAAAGGTGGTGAGTGTGTGTGTGAGGTGGGAACGTGTCTGTCCTCGACCCAGCCCTAGCTTGGCGTCCCCGTTTTCTTTATTTCTTTTAGCGCCCGCCGCGCGCTTCCGGCTTGTTCCACCCAGACAAAGTCAAAGAAAGGCTCCAGACAAACAAAGAGAAAGAAAGGCGTCTCAGTTCTCGCATCTTACTGACTGACTGTCTGATGATGTGACGACAAAGACCCGCGTGTCGTCGCTGTCTGTCTGGAGGCTGTTCTCGACTTGCGTGTGGTGATCTTGCCGGTGGGCGACGGCTAGCGCATCACACACACCCCTCTCCTTAAAATCCCTGTGTGGTGGCGGCGTGCCGTCCTCCCATCCCTCCCTTGGGTTGTCTGTTTTCTTTCTTTCTTTCTTTACTGGGCACGGGACTGGCGCGCACTGGCACTAACACCAAAAGAATTGTAACGCCTGCCCCCTCGCTTTTGCAAAATCCTGCAAAGGTGGTGAGTGTGTGTGTGAGGTGGGAACGTGTCTGTCCTCGACCCAGCCCTAGCTTGGCGTCCCCGTTTTCTTTATTTCTTTTAGCGCCCGCCGCGCGCTTCCGGCTTGTTCCACCCAGACAAAGTCAAAGAAAGGCTCCAGACAAACAAAGAAAGGCGTCTCAGTTCTCGCATCTTACTGACTGACTGTCTGATGATGTGACGACAAAGACCCGCGTGTCGTCGCTGTCTGTCGGAGCACGGAGGCTGTTCTCGACTTGCGTGTGGTGATCTTGCCGGTGGGTGGTCCTCCCGCCAAGCTGCAGAAACGAGCTTTTAGTGGCTATAAGCATAGGCGTTTGATTATGTTGCGCGCGGAGCGCGCTGGTGCTTCCCGGACACGCGCGGAGCGCGCGCTAGCTGGACACACGCGCGGAGCGCGCTAGCTAGACACACACGCGGAGCGCGCGCTGGCTAGATACCGCGGAGCGCACCGCGGTAGAGTCTAGCAGGAGTCTAGTCTCTAGACACATGAAGGCAGTCTGTTGCAGTCAGTTGTGGCCACGCGGCTTCGAAGCTGGCCTGACATCGTAGCACGCGTCTGGCAGACGCTGTTCTCTGCCTTCTTCCGCGACATGACCACAAGCACCCAGTCTGACGATCAAGCAGGAGAGCGACGTGCGCGCGCAAGGTAGCGGCGCAGCTCCCAGGCGACTTCATCACTGCCGACGACGTCTTAGAGCTGCGCACGCGCGGAGCGCGCCGCTGCAGAACACGCGCGGAGCGCGCCGCTGGCCCGCTGCATGGGTAGGCGCGGAGCGCCGCCACTTGAGATTGGGCCTGTGGGTGGGCCGAGTGATTCCTAGGACCAGCGTGTGAGTCAAACTCTCAATAGAAATCGCATCTAGCCCTCCACAACCCTCAACATTTTCTTCGGGGCGCGCTCCGCGCGCGGCGCTCCGCGCCTGACTCCTTGAGCGTCATAGGCGCTGGTTCGCACATGTTCCTGCAGCTTGGGTCCTCCGGGGTTGCGGGGTTGTGCCTTTGTGTGACAAAAATGCCAAATCCGCGCGCGTTTATAGGCGTAGGTGCACGCCTGCTCTCTTCTCCCCCCTTGGCCTTAAATCCAAAGCGGCGTAGTGTGGCCTGGCCAGCCAGGACACTGGTCCGCAAGGGGTATCAAACGGGTGCCGGATCGGCCGCCGTAATCACCGTGACCAAGAGTCGAGTCGCCGAGTTCGGCCGTCCTCCCGTGCTTGTCTCTGCCCCTCGAGCGCTATCATGTCTCCGTGCCCGTTCAGTGGACAAAAGGCCGAGGACTGTGGCTGGATCTGCCAGGGCGATGTGATCGCCACCCTAGCCAATCCCGTGTAGACTCCCGTGGCACATCCGCCGTTCATCCTCACAGCAACCGTGCGCCGCCGGCCTGTGACTCCCCGTGATGACCACACGCGCAGGATCTCCTGGACCTGTTCAACTGGGCGAAGGAGAACAAGTTCGCGATTCCCGCCGTCAACTGCGTCTCCTCCTCCTCGATCAACTCTGTCCTCGAGGCGCCGCTCTCCCCTGATGACGACCAGCGTCACGGCTCTTTGGAAGTCACACAAGCCGCCACTTCAGAGAGACCTTTTGAACGCTCTTCGCAATGGTTGCGCGTGACCATTCCTTGCCAGCCACACCCCACCCATCTTCCCTCCCCCCAACCCGCCTCCAGGCGGCGAAGGTGTCTCAGAACCCTGTCATCATTCAGATCTCGCAGGGCGGCGGCGCCTTCTACTGTGGCAAGGGCATCAAGGACACAGACTACCAAGTGCCGCCCGCGAGTGGAGGCGGTGCGTAGCCAGCGCAGGCTCATGAAGCCCTCCCCTCCCCTCGCGATCAGGCGACGATTGCCGGCTCCGTCTCGCTCGCGCTCCACACCCGCACCGTCGCGCCGCTGTACAAGGTGCCGGTCGTCATCCACTCGGATCACTGCGCCAAAAAGCTGCTCCCCTGGTTCGACGGGATGCTGGAGGCCGACGCGAACTACGCCAGGGCCAACGGTGGGGTGCGTGTGCCGCACCCCCCCATCTCTTTGGCTCCTTAGCATGAATACGCGCTGCATCCCCCTCTCCGCCCCGTGCAAGCACCGGCTGTGCCGCGTGCGCAGAAACCGCTCTTTTGCTCGCACATGCTCGACCTCTCGGAGGAGACGGACGACGAGAACATCGCCACCTGCGTCGACCGGTTCACAAAGATGCAAAAGGACGGGATGAAGCAGTGGCTCGAGATGGAGATCGGCATCACCGGCGGCGAGGAGGACGGCGTCGACAACAGCAACGTCGACCCCGAGAAGCTGATGACCACGCCTGCTCAGATCCACGCGGTCTACAGCGCGCTGTCGCCCATCGCGCCCTACTTCTCGATCGCGGCCGCCTTTGGCAACGTGCACGGCGTGTACAAGCCTGGCAACGTCGTGCTCAACCCAACGATCCTCGGCAAGCACCAGGCGTACGTCGGAGAGAAGACGGGGAAGGCGACTCCGCTCTACCTCGTCTTCCACGGCGGCTCGGGCTCGACCAAGCAGGAGATCAAGACGGCGGTGAGCAACGGCGTAGTCAAGATGAATATCGACACCGACACGCAGTGGGCGTACTGGACGGGCCTGCGCGACTACTTCTTCAAGAACTGGGACAGCTTGATGCTGCAAGTCGGCGTGGTGTCGGTGGGAGGCGATCCGGACAAGCCGAACAAGAAGAAGTTCGACCCACGCGTTTGGCTGCGGGCGGCGGAGGAGACCCTCGTCGCGCGCGTCAAGCTGGCGTACGAGGAGCTCGGCGCCGTGAGTACGCTGACGCTGACGTAAGCGGACCTCAAGAGTGGCGTCCCCACCGACAGCAACCAACCTAGGCAAGGGCCCGAGATTCGGAGCGAGGGCCGGAGAGGTGTGTGGTGGCAAGATGTGAGGGCTGAGGCAGTTGAGTAAGGGGAGAGGAGCGGGTTTGCGCTGGCTTCCACACACGGTCTATCTAAAACACAACGAGCGCCTACTTCTCGATGTGGGAGCCGCCCCACAGCGGTGTGGTGAGGCCAAGGGATTTGCACGCAGCGGTCAGGTTAAACCTCGTGGATGGCTTACGCTCGCTCGGCCTTTGGGCCGCAGGCCGGCGCGCACGGCGCGCAGCGCCACGCCGCGGCCAGGCGTCCGCCGGAGGCTCGCCACGGATGAGGCTCTTTTGCAAGTCTTGCGTGCTGCGTCCCGTCTCGTCGATGTCGTGCTGGGTTGTTGCACGAGTATATGGGCCACGATGTCTCAAATATGAGGGGTTTTGACTCCTACCGGCTCCTGACGCTATCCCTGGCAGCTCTAATGACCAGGATCAGTAGTATTGTGATAGAGGGTGCCCATACTAGCGCAGGAGCTGCCACACTCGCCCGGACCGTCCCCTTCTGGGGCCGGTTCCGCAGCCCGCGAGAGCCGACAGCGGGCCGTGCCGCAGGTGCCTACTGCCGAGTGCCACAAACACTGCGCCGTCCCGCCATCACCTACAGGCTGTCTTGTGGGATGGTTGGGATGTCCAAACGCCACCATCTTGGCTCTTGCGACCTCAAACCCTCGAGCTGTATGGGTGGTCCTGACGTCGACAGACGCCCGAGGACCATGGTGAAGCTGAGCCGGAACGCGTCGACAGGTCTCGCCTGAGCCCGTGGCGGTCGCCGGCTGAGTCGCCGTGCACGAGCCGGTACCTCAGGCGTCACCTCCGCAGCCTCAGGTCTCACACTCCATCACCTCCGACGGGACGCTTTCGGTGGCACGCTCGGCGGCGAGTTTGTTGCAGCCCCACAGCGCGCACGGCGTCGAGCCTAATCGGTCTGGTCTGTTCGCGGCACTCACTGGGTGCCAGGGAGTGCCGCCGACACGCGAGCGGTGCTTCCCGGCAGCGCGCGCCGGCTGTGGGGCTGCAACAAACTCGAGACACGCTTTTTGGGACATTTTCGACGCTTTTGGCCCATATACTCGTGCAACAACCCTGCTGCAAGTCTTGCGTGCCGTCCCGTCGATGTCGTGCCTGAGCGCCCGCATGAGCGACCTGGAAAAACGGGAAGGAAGAGAAGCATGGGACCGCACGGGGCACACAGGCCAGACAGCAAGAGACTGCACGGGCCACGGGGGCACCTCTAGAGTCCTCGCCCTCCCCCAGCCCCACACACAAAGACAAACCGACACCCCAACGCTGGTGTCCAGAGTAGAGACACGCCGCAGAGCGAGTCTGAGAGGGCCTTAGCCGCGCTCAGACTGCCATCGTAGAGATCTGTGCCCGCGCGGAGCTCAGCTCCGGGGCCGGCGCCGCCAAGAACGCCGTTCTCGCCACCATGCTCCAGCCATGCAGAGCGAAGGTGTCCTTGCCGGCGGGCGCGCGCCGCGTTCCGCCCGCCTCTTAGCGGCGGCGGTCGTTGCTGTCGTCGCGGCGGCGGTCGTCGTACCTGCCCACGCAGGGCGGGTCAGGCCGGGCGCAGGGGGCCGGCGGCGGGGGCAAGGGGGGCGGGCGGCGGAGAGGGTGTCATCTCGGTTGCCTCTCGGCGCGCCGGTCGCGCTCATCGTAGCGGTCGCGCTCGCGGCGGTCGTAGTCGCGCCGGTCGTCATACCTGCGCCCGTCGCCCGGTGGTGGTGCCGCATCGGGCAGAGGCGGAGCCGGGGTCGCCCCTCCCCCCCCCGCCCGTCAGGCGGCGGCGGCCGGTGGCGGGGCAAAGCGGCAAAGAGTCCGACCGCACGCGCGGCCCGCATAGCGGCCCGCATAGGCGGAAGAGCAGAGTGGCGAAGGGGCGTAGGGAGGAGAGTCGAGGGGCGAAGGAGCGGAGTAGAGTGGCGAAGGGGCGGCGTAGGTTGGGGAGTAGAGTGGCGAAGGAGCGGCACTGCGGTGGGTGAGGCGAGGGCGTGGAGAGCGCGCGGAGAAGCCGCGAGGAAGCGAGGCGTTCG